CAAAGTCACAGGCCCTGGTTGTTGTGGGGGGCTTTAACTACCCTGACATCTGCTGGAGAAGCAACACAGCGAAGCACAAACAGTCCAGGAGGTTCCTAAAAAAACACTGATGACAACTTGCTGTCATAGGTAGTGGAGGATCCCACAAGGAATGTGCTGCTTGACCTTCTACTTAGAAACAGAGAAGGCCTTGTTGGACATGTGAAGGTTGGGGGCAGCCTTGGCTGTGGTGACCATGAGATTGTAGAGCTCAGTACTGAACAAAGAAGTAGCAGGACAGTGAGCAAGATTACAACCATGGACTTCGGGAGAACTACCTTTACCCTCTTGAGGGATCCTCTTGGAAGAATCCCATGGGAAAAGGCTCTGCAAGGAGGATGGGTTCAAGAGAGTTGGTCAGTATTCAAGGTTCACTTTCTCCAGGATGACCCTGCTTGAGCAGGGAGGTTGGACCAGAAGACCCACTGTAGTCCCTTCCAACCTGACCTGTTCTGTGATTCTGTGATTGGCCTCACAGCCCCTACAAGCCTGGGATGGAAGGATCGAGCTGAAGTCTTTCAGGGTGTACTGTGCTACAGTTAGAGCACTAAGCTCACTGGATCTCAACTGATAAAAGAGCATAGCTAGAAATGAAAGCTTTGTTTTCAGGACAGCAGACTTCTCCACATGTCTACAAGAAAAAATATTTGTGTAGTAACTGTCAACAGCTACCAGTTCCTACCTAAAAAAAAAAAAAAATTCAGATTATCACCAAATGGACTTTATTTATCTTCAGTGTCAACTAGCAAACACAATTTAAAAAGAAAATCCACCTAAAATTTTGTCAAAGTTAACATCTCCATAATGATTTGGTATCCTACATTTTATTTTTCTTAACTTTAAGAAATTAGTTAAGAAATTTTTAGTAATTTTTACTTCAAAAAAGTTGTCAAAGGGTTGGAATGTCTCATGTCCTTGGGTCACAAGTAGTCATGGGTAGAACTTGGTGGCTTCAGGGACCTGTTTGTTGCATTTTGAATTCAAAAGCAGAAGCAGTGTGCGCATGTGCCTCGTCCAGGAGGCAGAAGACACCTTCTCCAGGCTTGTCAGTGGCCCTTGCCAGGTTGCCTGTGGTGAATCTTTCCCTGCTGTGCTCCCTCTTGCACAGAGAGGCCCAGGCAGTACCCTGCGGGTCAGGGCATGTCACACCACGCTGCAGAGTGCCAGGGACAGTGAATCCAGGCACTTTAAATGCCCAAATCTCTTCACCTTCTTCTCCATTCACTGCTGTTGTGTCTAATGAATTTGGCAGAGAATTTTGACTTCATTAGTTTAGCTTTATCCAGAGATCCAGCCATCACAGATAAAAGGGGAGCTGGAGATACACAGTGAGGACAAGATCCAAAATTACATCTGCTTTTTATGTTCTTAAATCTTGCTCAGTATTTTGGGATGTAAAAACACAGCACAGGTTGGCAATTTTCCTTAAGTTCTGAGGGAATGAACAGCAGGATGGAACATCAAGAAAGTATCTTTACTTTCTTGTTGTAGTAAACGTCAGGTAGATAAAGATACTTACTTGATGTTAGTCTTACTAACTGCAATTATTTGAAATTTTAAAAGCACTCATCTTGTGCTTTTAAAAGCACTCATCTTGTGCTAAAGCACTTGAAGATGCATTATCCATACTGCCAACAGGGGGTTTTCCACTGTCAAAACTCTGTGGGCAGCTCAGAAAGAAAACAGAATACTATTTTCACTTTTCAGACAAAATATACTCTACTTTGTTTCACTCTCTACTACACTCTTCTTGTGTATGTTCACATCTTTTCACTGTTCTTAGGCAGTGGCATTAGTTTACACATTCGCTGACTGTGTCTGTCCTTTTATTTTTCTGCTTATTTAAGGCTAAGTCAAGTAACATCAGTGCACCTGGCATGGCACAGTCATTGCTGAGGCCACAGTCAGTCCTGATTAAGAGGAACTCACTGCAGCCTCCTCCTCCACCTGAAAGGCGATCATCTGCTATTTCTGCTTCACCAGTTCTACCCCCCAAAGTGAAACGAGACAGCGGCATTTTCCTAACAGATCCAGAGAGCTTTCCAGCCCCACCACCTACACTGATGATTGATTTTCCACCACCACCACCGTCTGATTTCTGTGACCCACCTCCTGATTTTGTGCCTCCACCACCACCAGTCTCCAGCAGCAGTAATGGAGACCTGCCAGTGCCCCCTCCACCTCCACCTGTCTCCAGTAAGCCGCCGCCACCACCTCCAGCAAAGAAACCTGTGCCTCTTCCTCCAAAAAGGCTAGAAAACACAGGAGCAGATGGAGAGCCAAGGTCAGCTGGGCCACCTCCCACTGGGGCTGGAGGCAGGCAAGCAGATTTCATGTCTGACCTAATGAAAGCTCTTGAGAAGAAGAGGGGCAACAACTCCTGAACTCTGGGAGCAGGTGGACTTTAAGACGTAGCTGGTTTTGTGAGGCATCATAGAAGTGCACGCTGGATCAGGCTCTTCCAGGAGGAATTCTCCTTCAGAGTTCCTTTTGGGGGTCTCAAGAAGGTGGGGTGCCCTTTGTCCCCCTCTTTGTCTCTAGAGCCTGCTCCTTCCCCCCCTACATCTCACCACCCCCTGTTCTTGACTCCCATTCCTGCACCAGGCCAAGGTAAGAATTGACTGGAGAGTCTTGCTTCACTCCACAAGGACAGCCAGGGATGGTGGAGCAGCACTCCAGAGCCAGCCAGCAAGTGAAATGCATCTTCTGTGGCTGCCTCTCTAGTGGAACTGGAGCTAAAGGAAAAATACAACAATGTTCTCATGTGAATTTTGAGAAGTGGGAAAATCCCTTTTCACAGAATTGCCCTTAAAGGTTCTTTATTGAAACCCCCCCCGCCTATGGGGATGTTTTTTCCAATAAAAAGACCCTCTTGAAAAATGTTTTAAATAGTCTGTCTTAAAAAGTAAAACCTCAGCTAGATTATTCTGAGATGCATGTCAGGGCCAGGACCATTTCCAGACAGTGTCACCCCAAATGTTACACACTCCTGTTTCTATATGTAACTCAGTCATACCTGTCAGCATTTTCAGCTGCTATCTTGAAATCTCATTTATTTGGTTAACCTTAGACAAATAAAAATGTTTATTTTGAAATCATGTATGCTTCCCTTGGTAAGCAGGATTTTTCTTCTGTTGGTTAACATTTGTCTTCAAACTGTACCTAGAAATAATCTGTCTTGTGAAAGACTTTGTAATTATCTTGTACCTGATAGGAATGTCTCCTCCTACAATTTTTTCATTTGTTCTCCCCATTTAATTGTCCATTGTTCATTTAGGAAGCATTCATTGTTAGTTCTCAAATAAAAATAGCTTCTATTTTACATCTGCACAAAGTGTCACAATTAATGAAGAGGCGTTTTACTGCCAGTTGGAATGACTTAAAATATTTTTAAAGAATTTTTGCCTATACCTTCTAGTCTTTTTTTTTATAATTCCAGTCTTTGCCTCTTCTCATGCACACTTGATCTTCTAAGATAATATAAATAATATATTTCTGTATTTTGAATTAGAAAAAAGCATAAAAAGCAAAATGTGTTTGTCAGAATGGATTCCTAGGTCCAGAAGTGGTGGTGGAGGCAAGAGAATGACAAGCTGGTGGCAGTGCCACAGCCTGTCAAAGTTTTGGGTCACCTCTAGTCTTATTTTTGGCTTAAGGTTGGTTTGTCAATACCCACATACATGTGTAACAAGCTTGGCAGAAATAAGAAGGCTGTAACCAGTGCTTGATGTTGAGGAGCCAGACCCCTGACAAGTTGGAGCAAGGCAAGGTAAAACATGCTCAGCTCCACTAGAAGGGGTGTGTGGTACCTGGTCAAAGCAGAAAGTACAGGCTCTTGGACAGAGCTGGAGTGGAGGGTGGTGTTGGATACAAGAGGAACTTGGGGATGCACTGAAGCTGTTGCAGAACTGAGATGCTTCAGCCAGGGAAGTGCCAGCTAAGTCACTAAAACAAGCTTCATGTGACTTCCCACAGCTGAATCTGTTCTCACTTGAGACAAGCTGAAGCTAAGGGATGCTTTTCCTGCAGGAATCACGCCCATCAACACAGTTACTCAAGTACAGCCATGGGACAACCACTCTGTTTCCTCCTTCCTTTCTTTGTCAGCAGTGTAAGCATTGCATATGGAGAGGGGAGATGTCTAATGACTGCTGGTAACCGTCTGTTGCTCTGCAGCCCGTGGCTGAGGAGCTGGCATTGGTGGCACGACACTACAGCTTGTACACCCCTGTCTCTACTGCTAAATAAAGAGGAGCAGGAGGATGCAAGCTTGAGTGCTGGCCCAGTGCTTTCCCACACCGCCCAAGTGGGCCTAAGCACAGTCCCAGACACAACTCAAGGAACTGCCCAGGACAGGCACATTCCCAGAAGACAACATGGACAAGTCTAAAGCAGTTATCGCTGCCCACGCAGAGATCCGCCATGGTGCAGCTGTGGCCAGTCAGGGCACCAGTTCATGGGCCAGGGGACTATTTCCTGGCCCTCTTACCAATACAGAGTCCATCCAGCTTTTACTGGTTTTCTAGCTCCCTTGCTTTTCCTGAACTCAGCAAAAAGTTCTCACGAGGAGAGTGGTGGGTTCTCACTGTGCCCACCACTAACACAAATGTTACCTGGAGGTTTTTAGTTGACATGCTGGGGCATTCGAAAGGTATCTTGGCACCTTCAAACAGCCAAACTGGGAAATGCTCTTGAGATCAGTGCAAGGGCTTAGTACGAGCCTTAAGTTAAAAATGCAGGGGGAAAATACTAACTAGCTAAAAGTAGGAGGGTTAAAACTAGGAGTTAAAAAAACCCAAAAAAACAAACCAGAAAAGAGGATTACTGTTTCCCAATCCCTTTCCATATATAACTGAGGTAAGTGTTACGTGGAATCATTCAAGAGCTAGGTTTCATTTTCTGACAAGGTGTTAGGAGTGCACATCTTCAACACAGGTGACAACAGCTGTCTGCTATCCAGCTATTTTTAAATCAAATTAATTTTATGAAATATACACACAGCATCAAAATAAAGTGGGACATGTCCTTAGAAAAATGTTGCACAATAAGCTAATTTCTCTGATTCAAAAAAGCACTGAGACTTCTACAAGGCTTTTCTAGCATTCACTCTTCTCATCAGAACGTTCAGCCTCTCACCCTATTTCCTCCCTTCTTTTTTGTTACAGCACAATAAACTCAATTTTATACAATTTACATCTGCAATTGTAACTCTTTCACTTAATCTTACACAAAAGAAATTGAACTTTCTTCAAAACAAAAAAGAATTAAGGCCTATAGAGAACTCCAGAAATCAAATAAAATGCTGTGATGATTAGACCTCTATCAACTACTTTGTGTATGTACATGGTAGCACTGAATTTCTGAAATGTAAGATTTAAACTCCATTCAAAGAACAAAGCTGCCATCTTAATGATACACAATTATTTAGCTTGATCTGGTACCAAAACATGCTGCAAAATACAAAAAGATCTTCCAATGGTGTAATTCAAAGCATTTGTAAAAATAGAAGTTAATCCTTCCACCTCTGTCTAACCTATTGCCATACAAATGGTCTGTAGATGATGGCTGTATGTATATCACTAGAGCTTACAGTATTTTGCAGCATGTTATTTTTAACCTTTCTCCATACCTCAAATGGAAGCAGTCTCAGCAGCTGCCATCTCCTTTGGGCTCTTACATCTCTAATCTGGAAGAAGGACCTCCTTCAAGACATCGCTTTTTCATCAGTCCTTAGGATTAGAAAGGTTAGAGTCATGTGGAAAAGTCCATATGTGGGGGATCAGCACTGCTGTCCCTTCAAAATTGTCCTCCAGTACAGAAAGAGCATAAGAGCACGGACTGAGCACACCTGTTTGATTACCAACCCCAGTATTGTTATTCCCCATCTGTTCTTGCATCACTGCTCTGTTCATGTAACATGAGGGAAGAAGCAGCTCCAGAAAGACAGGTGGTAGCCAAGGATTTGAGGGAATATATCATCAAACACAGTATTAATGTTTGCATTATCATAATAAACCATAATGATTAAAACCTGGAAGTGGAAAGGGACATGGTACCAAATGCTGAGCACAATGTGGGCTCATTTCTCTAATTCTACCAAACCTAGTTAAAAGGTAGTGTTGGGATAACCATCTGCTTTGTGTTTTTCATGCACTCTTTGCCAGGCACTTTGAGAGTGGAAAAGTAGAAACTTAAATGGATAGTGGCAAAACTACAGAACAGAACTATTATTTAGCAGTTATCCTTGACAGTCTCACAGGAACTGGGAAATATGCATATTCTGTTCGAGGGAAACACACAGAACAGATTAGGTATCATTAAGACTTAGGAATTCTCATGGTCTTGGGGAATATTCTAAGGCAGTGTGATCACCTTTAACAGTCAGTACTGACTATTATGAAATCAGAATAGTTACTAAAATCAGATTACGTAAACTCATGGTAAAACTAGGGGAAAGAAAATGGAGATTTGCCTTCACATAAATCCAGGAAAGAAGACATGACTGAGTCCATGAATGAACTCCTGGAGAAGAGAGAGAGCTGACCTACTCTCCGCAGCCACAGGAATACGTGAAACCAACTTTCAGGGCTTGCTTCATTCTCTCAGACATTTTTTTAAGAACCTGAGAAGCCTCACAGGGAGCAGTACATGCCACTGCTTGTAAAACAGCTCTCATTTGGGCTGCTCTGGTTTTACCAGATGTGGATGGTGATGCTGGAGGCTTTCTTTACCTGTACCTGTGGGTGATGCAGAGGCTGACTTGCCCCTAATAGGATTCAACATTTATAAAACACTTTGAAGAAAAATGCAATATAAAAATGCTCTGTATTTATGCAGTTAATCTATAAGATAAAGATGTACAGGCAGCCATGTTTGGCCCCCACAAAACAGAAACTTCCCAGACATTTGGTAAAACATGAATTGGAGATCTCCCCTTTCACCTAATTGGAAACCAGGGCTCAAGCTGCAGTGCTGCTGCATTTCCCCTGCAGACACAAAAACATTCTTTAAATCATCACTTACTTGAGTGCAACCCACTCCCCCTTAGGTGGTAATGCTGACGTTCACACGTTTCCTCACAACACCATTTTGCTTGGAATTGTCGAGAAGATGCATCAGTGCCAGGGTTTCAACTGGAACACAGTCCAGTGCTAAAGGGTTTCAACAGGCCCCCAGCAGCCCAAACCTTTGGTCTGGAGGTGGTGCCAGCTCAAACACTGATCCCAGTGATCCAAGGAGAGCACTTTCTACCTGCACAAGGAATGCTAACCCAGGCTGAACTTGCCTAAGTTGCTTAAACTTCAGACTGGAATTTCAGAAAACTGTAAATATCTGTTTTGTGCCTCCCATTATGATACTATTTACATTTGAACAACTGCATTTACATTTGAACAGCTGTATACCTGAGGGGAAACCACCCTGAGTAATCGTGTTGATTATAGCTAAGAAGTAAAGGCATTCAAATATTTTTTTAGTTCCTAAAAGATTTCTAATAAATTTTTTTTCCACACTAATTATATTTCTAGAAATAGATTTGTGAAATTTTAATTATACCACTAATAGATCCTAAAACAATCCATTTGGGATTTGGGAACAGACAAGGTAACATCAAGAAGTAACAAGCCCTCAGATAAGTGATTTTTTTCTGTAAATTTTCTAGCATAGTGTTAGACATGATTGCTGATGTATTAATTTTGCCTTAATTATACACTAAATTTTGTGGAACTAGAGTATCAAACAAGGATAAATAGCAAGACCTAGGGCTCAAAGACCTTTAAATACTTTCCCTGCAAGATTTTTGTAAGTCCCTTACAAAATAAGGTGGCTGAATAGAAAAGCTATATTTACCTGACTACATACATAGTGAGATATTTCCAAGACAATCCTTTTCCAGATCCAATTGGTAAAATTTTCCTGAGGCTTTTTATGCATGCACCAACAATCTTCTACTAGTATCAAAAGATACACTTTCAAAGAGCAGTGACCCATGCTTGATAGGCACCTGACACCAGCAAAGACACCAAAATTTATTCTGGGATAAGTCACTCCCAAGACAGACATCTTTGCTCACTATTTAACTGAATTTTCTTTAAATCTCTATTGTCAGTTTAATGGGACAAAAGAAGATCAGAAAGAGAAAAGATGTCAAGGTATAAGTGTAAGATGATCCCCTGTGCCAGCTCTGCAAAAGACTTAAGAAAATGTATGTCTGCAGAATGCAATGATATTTGACCAGTGCGTAACAGCAAGAAGAAAATTAATCAAAATACCACATTATTAAAACTAGCTTAGATGGATTTTAAATTGATCAGTCAGTAAAAGCTATTGAGACCCACCTGATCAGCTATGAATTCTGAGAGGTTAAGTGTGACAGCTTGGCAGAACTTAAATATTGTTACTCAAAGTAATGCACAGAAGAATGTGAAAGGCAGAGTTATCAACACCAATATAATTGGCTGATGCAACCACACATACTGATCCATTTCCTTAATCTTCAGACTTCAACAAAAATTGGTCAAGACCTTATCTTGCCTAACAAAGTAGCAGATTCCAGTCCACAAAGTATAAGGGAGAAGAGTTCTTGTGGCTTGGTCCATTAATCCTATTTGAAGGCCTGAGCTTCGACCTGAATCATTTTTCTTCCTTGTTCAAATTTCTCTCAGGATGAACAGCTTACTTTCAGGTCCTTGGCCCAAGCTGGGGGGCGCAGGGAGTAGCCTGCTCGCTCTGCAGCCTCCTGTCTCTGGAAGGGATGTTGTAAAACCTGCTCGAGGAGACGGACCTGGAAGCAATGAAGAATGGGTTATGTTTTTATACAAAATGTTTTTCTGCAAACAAGAAAAGTTTCTTCCACCACCCTCCTGGTTCCAGAAACTATCATATGAATTGCTTACTATTATTAGTACTACTATTAATATAGTCACTACTATTTATAACTAATGCTATTAATAATTTTGTTAATATTTTAAATAGTAATTGGTGTTAGATAGTACAATGTGGGTCAAAGTGTAGTACAGTTCAAAGTGTAAATGCAAAACTGTTCCATTAGCTATTATGCCAATTATTATTAAATATGTAAAGAAAAAAAGAAATAATTTTACCTCAGAGAAGTCATTCAAATTAGATTTTTGCACTGCTGATTCTGCCATCCAATTCCTAAGTATGTATCTCGGATTAACAGCTGAAACCAAGAGTAAATCATGTTAAATTTAGTTAGACATGTTCAACAAAAGGCAAATACAGTCATTGAAACATGTCACTGAAATCTTCAAGAAGGTTTAATTTGCAGATCAAGAAAAAAAGCATAAAAAGGAAAAGGAATTAATCAATCTATTTATTTTTATGAGTTGCTAAAAGGATTTTTTTGAATTTGTACAATCAGTAATGCCAAAGTGCCAAACAAAAATTAGAATGGTAAAGAACATGACATTGATATATAAAGAATTTCCCATTAAGAACACAGCAAACTTCTCAAGTGTGATGAGTTTACCATGGCCTAGGTTCCTGCTACATTGCTGGAAAGCATATTTCAATGTTGTCAATACCTTCCTGGAGATCATAAAAATGAATATTTTATTACTTATTTTAAAAAGTAATTATTAAGATATCCATTAAAGTATATGTACTTAGATACTCCTATATCATATAACAGAAGTTTAGCCATAAAGGCCTTTAATGTTGCATTTCAATTGTATTTTTTATAAACTACTTTTTCAACTTTCCTTTTAATCTCTCTTTTAATTTTTCTGGCCGAGTATTTGATTTAGTTCAATAAATAGATTTTCAATAGTAAAGTGTGTTAACTACTTAAAAAGACTATTTTAAAGGTGAAAAAGTTAACATATGACTCATATAAAAAATTATAATTTACATTAAAACCGTGAGTCATATTAGCAGGAGAATATTTGTCTCAGAAATATATTCTTAACCATTGCAAATTGACAAGTTTCACAGTAGAGTTAAAAATATCTGTAATTAACACAAGTGACAAGATAATTATGAAAGAGTAAGACAAGTGACATAAGAAAAGGACAAAGCAAAAGAAATTTTGTGGCCTTGTAAAGAAATGCAATTATAGACTTGGATTGTCAAAACTTTTTGATCAACTCCTTAGGAGTTGAATTTAGGCAGTATAAGATAAAGTACTACTAAGAACTGAAAACTAAATAAAGGGAGGAAAAAAATAAAAATAAGTGCTCAACTTCAAATGATTCAAGGCAATGTACTTTGAGAAGTGAGGTATCTTATGACACATACTAACAATTAGGGAAAGATAATGAATAACGAGGTGCTAACAGCAAAATATTCAAGGTCAGTCAAAGACAGCAATACACAATTTAGGTGTGACTTCCCAAACCATATAAAAATCTGAAGACTCACAACAGTTTTGTCTTTAAAGTGAAATGCTGGGTAAAAATGCAGAGTTGACTGTGTTGAGCCAGATTTCTGCTCAAAGTTGTACTGACAAGGGACAGCTGTTACAAGCAAATCCTTAAACAAACAAACATATGGAAAGAAAAACTGAACAATTTTAAAGAGACCACAGGGGCATCTAAGTGATCTATTTAAATGCATGGATGTAAAAATGCAGTACCTTTGCCATTCTGTGTTTAGAATGACTTGGAGCATCAAAGCATCTTCCTCTGCCTTCTATGACTAGACAGTCCTCTCACAAGGAGTTTTTTCTCCGGGTGAAGAAAAGAAAGTGGGTGCCTATCAGAAACCTGAATTCTGTATAACATGTTGAAAGGCTCTGGGCATATTTAAACATAAGACAAATCTTGGTCCATTGAGCCAGTACAGGGTGCCTACCAGAACCTTTCCTGTCACTGAAGGTTCATCACCAGACAAGACCAGTGTTCTGAGCAATGCAAACCAAGACATTCCCAGACTGCTGAAGGAAGGAAGTGCAGATCAAAATGATGTTACTTGCACTCAGGAAAAGCTGATACAGCCAAAGAGGAAGAGGAAGGGCATCTCTCACAAGGAAATCAAATCCCAGGGGCCCTTTCAGGAAGCACCCTACTTTACAACGAAGAGTTACAACTTGGGCAGCAGCCACAGCATTCTCACACACTTAGACTTCAAGCCACTGATCTGACTGTGACTGTATTCATAATGGAAGGGGTTTGTGTCTGACCAATTTCTATAAACACAGACAAATTAAGGATTTATTATTTTAAGGAGGGGAAAGGCAGGATACCTAAGGAGGAAGTGAGCCTCACTGTAGCCAAGGAATTTCTTGGTCATTTGGTTTATGTAAAAAGTACATACATATTCACAGGTGTAGCCATACACACATGGCTAAATTCTAATCACAAGAGTGGATGAAACCAGAGACAACCACAATGAATGTACAGTGTTACAAGACTCGCAGCAGTGTAATGAGAGTTTCTCCCATTTGGTAGAACAGTACATTTTAGTTCTTCCTGACAGGAAAAATAACTAACACTAAAGAAACCTTTGTAAAGAAGTATTTGTCATTTCCAATTATCCAATTCCTTTGGATCCTTTACTTACTTGTCATTCTTGTTCTTCTTTTGCTGTCTGAATCACCCTTGTTACTATACATGGAAAACAAACCAAAAGAAGAAAAACAGAAAGTGCTTTTAGCTAATGAGGATTATGCCGATTTATTTTTAGAAATATCTTATCTGACTTTCATTAAAATCATTAAGTGTTCTGCTTTTGTGTTCAGTGGAAGCAGGTGTGAATCTCTAAGAATGATTAGACTTGGAAAAGACTGTACCCCTTCTTGTAGGTTTTGTATCCTGTATTAATTTTTCCTAAGAACTGTATTTACCGAATAAAATTTCCAAGTACATGATATATGTGTCTTTTCACTACTATTAGCCATACATACCATATACGACTAAGAAAAACACATTACATTCTTTATTAAGACAAAAGAATCAGTGTTCCTATCTATGCAACATCAGCATTTTCCAAACACAGTCTGTGTATTCATGACTGTTCAGCTTCCATCTGCTGTCATCATAAAGCAATGTTATTACATAGTAAATATATATATATGTTACCAGTAATTAAACACTATTCATTCCTATGTATTTGCAAGGTCTGTTTGTGATTTTTGGACTGAATCTGTAGGACTGGTATTTTAACAAAAATTGTTAACCAAAAAATCTCATAAAAATACAGACCACTCCTCCCATTTAATTTTTATGTAGCTGTATGTCAAAACAGAACTACAAGAGTAATTATTATCAAATCCAGCACAATCTAGAACCAAAAAAGGCATATGAAACCATGATTGGGTGAGTTTATTAGACCCACCAAAGATTATGAAAAAGCACTGCAAATTATTAAATTTGCCTGATTCTGGCAAGTACACACTTGAAAATGCATCAGACTTACTGTTTTAATCTCAAGAGGTACATAGTAACCCATTCTGAAAATAATTTGTGTTTACTCAGATCCTGGAGAGTCCAGAACTCCTAAAGAGAAAGAAACAGTTAGAGGCAGGTAATCAGAATTTTCTTCCTGTTAAGCAAAATCCAAAGTAAGCAAAAGAAAACTGTGGTTTAACCCCAGCTGGCAACTAAGCCCCACATAAACACTCGCTCACTCTTCCCTTCAGTAGGATAGGGTAGAGAATCAGAAGGTTAAAAGTAAGAAAACTCACGGGTTGAGATAGTAAAAGTGTAATAATTGAAACAATTTAATAATAATAACAATAATAATAATAATAATAATAATAATAATAGTAATGAAAAGAAAAATAACAAAAGGAGAGACAAATAAAACTGAAGAAAAACAAGTGATGCAAATGAAAAACAACTGCTCATCAACCAATGCCCAGCCAGTTCCCAAACAGTGGCCCTCCACCAGTTTTCCCCTACTTTATTTGCCGAGCATGACACCATATGGTGTGGGATATCCCTATGGCCAGTTCAGGTCAGCTGTCCTGGCTCTGTGCCCTCCCAGCTTCCCGTGCACCCCCAGCCTCCTCACTAGCAGGGCACCCAATTATTACTCACCTAGCATTTCACTCCAATTCAAACATTTGAGCTATATTTCCACTTCTAAAGATTGCACTAAATCCAGGTAAAAATTTTATCTCTTTTAAATATTTTCATCTCTTTTAGGGTTGTATGTGGTCCTGAGGAATATGTTTAGGCTGAGCTAGCAGCAACACAGGATAGGATAGCAGGCTGAGCAGGAAACTATAGCAAAATGTGTTCTTATGCTTTAAGTTAAATTTAAAACCAATCCTGTGCTCAAGAAAGGGCAGAGGCCACTCTGAGCAAAGGGTTGTAGCAGGAGTTTATGACGAGATGGGATCTCACTTATCATTACATACTGTGACAAGCTGATGGGCCTGAGAGCAGAGGTTTAGGCCACCTTGTAAACCCATGTTAGGAATAATTCAGTTGACCTGAGTTTGAAATTTTCTTTATGAGCCCTGTCCAACTTCACTTGTTGGACAAAAGGTATTCTTAAGCAAAACAACAAAAAAAGAGAGGGGAGGGGGAGGAAAGGTCTTCATAGCAGATCCCCTTAAATGTGGAGAAAATCACATTCCCACCTGTGTATAAGAATTTATGACTACTCATATTGGACCTGTACCACAGGATGAAAATCTGACTTCATCACTCTTCATTAATGCACCTTCCATTAGCACTTCTCATTAACATATCCTTCATTACCAGACACAGGCTTAACAAGGGGTAGTAGCATGACACAGATGTATTAGACTTACTCTCCCTTAATAATGCTACAATGACGTATTTCCCAGATAAATCAGGCTTGAGACATCCTCTAGTATATCAGGGTAATGTCCAACTTGATTTACTCGTTCTATATTAAGTATTCTTAAAACTAGGTGCTTGTATTAATACCTCAGGAATATGGAGCTCCCTTAACTGGTCTTCAGTAATTTCACTCAGTTCTCGAAATGTCATTGTAAAATCAGCCTTGGTATCTTCCATAATCTAGTGAAATAAAGATCCTTCTATTAGTGCTTTTCAAGTATGGGCTATCAGTTCAGATGCTTGCCAACAAAATTAGCAAAGGAAACTCACTTTCAAGAGGAAAGCAATCAAATAGTTATCATTCTCATTCTCCCCAAGAAGACCCAATTTTGCTTTGAATAGTTCTGTGAAACTGAAAATAATAACCAAGTTAGGAAATTTTTGCATAATATAATTTATAGTACTGTGACTAGAAGGTTTGAGTTCTGAAACTGCATACCGGCTGTAATAGCGCTCACCATACCCCTCCAAAATCTGGGAAGCTCTGCAAAAACAAAAGAAATGTCAGGTTGTATTGAACAAAAATGCTACTGTGGGTAAAATCATACTGTGTACTAAACAAAGAAAACTACTTCTGACTGATATCTCAGAAACACTGACATTCTGAATCATCTGGGATCCATCCTTCATAGAAGAATCTTTACAACAGGCTATTAAAATACTACCTTGTTACTTCAGAAGGATGCATGGTCTTCATAAGTAAGCATCTTAAAGAATGAGCTAGACAAAACAGAAAACTAGAGGCAAAGGTCCTACCTTAGTGAAAGGAGAATGAATCACACAAGATCTAGTATCTCTTTGTGGTCCTATTTTGCTATTATTTATGACCAGTCAACACCTTTCTCCCCTCCCTCCAACCTTATTCCAGCCAATAATTAATCCAGAATCAATTTCCACTTTAAAAAAAAAAAGATTTTAAAAGCTAATATTTTTCTTTCCTATGCATATGGTGATTAGAGGGTCTCTCATCTCACTACTTCTTTTAAGCATTAAGATATTTTTAAAGATTACTTACAGATGCTTTTGCCTGGGATCCAATAAAGGTTTTAGGGCTTGTAAGAGCTTGCTCAGATTAAACAGCCCAACATTTGCCTGATTTCCTATTTTATATCTCCTTTCATCATCAGATGTGTTTGGAACAAAATCTGTTTCAAACAAAACACTACTTTTCCATAACAGAGCAATTACAATAAACAATCAATGTTAAAATATTGAGAGTGAACTCATAAAAGACCTAAAGCTACTAAATATTTAAAGTCAGATCACAAGGATACTTATTTACAGTGATTTAACTCAAGATCTGTTAGCTGCAAATCTAAGGAATACATCCTTTGCAGACAAGTTCTCATGTGTCACAAGTGACATTTTCCTACTTGAAGATACAAAATAAATTCAATGTTTAAACAGAAAAAGACTGTTTTCACATTAAAAACAATGTCTTTTACACTTAGAAACAATGTTTTTTCTACATATAGCACTACTATTTAGCAAACAGATTAAACAAACAAATGTTCAACTAGATTCAGGATTTATAAGTATTTCTGTAAAAGTCACATGTATAATAAACATGTATTTCATAGGACACCTAAGCAAGATTTTTTTCAGTTGTAGAAGCAACCTTTATGTATTCACATAAAAATTAGGGCTAATGTGTTCCAGTATGCAAATCCATTATTTGGGAGATAACAAATACCTGCTTTGCAAGTTATAAGTATCCAGAATTAAAACGTATGCCTATCTACACAGTCTGAGTGGATGTAGCATGAATTCCTTGCTCAGATCAAATGCAGGTAAGCTGATCAATGCACACAGCACTGCCTGAGTCCCCAGAGGACACTGACAATAAACAGAGCATTAAGGAGACCTGTGACACATCTGTCAGATCTGGTAAGTGGTTCAAATCTGAATTTTAACTCTAAAGACTTTCCTCTGGCTCTAGGGTGCACTGTCTGTGGCTGGGACGGAGTAAGTTTTCTTCTCAGCAGCATATAGGGCACAGTGTTTTAGACTTGTGACTGAAACGTTGATAACACACCAATGTTTTACACATTGCTGAGCACTGGCTGGCACAGCATCAAGGCCTTCTCACTCTGCAACCCCAGAAAGTTCGGGTAGGGGTGGCCAAGAGACTCAGAGAGGACACAGCTGGGACAGCTGACCCCAGCTGACCAAAGGGATATTCCATACCCTATAACATCATGCTCAGCAATTAAAACTGGGGGTAGTTTTTCAAAGGCAGCTGTCACTCAGGGACCAACTCAGCATCTGTGTAGTGGTGGGAGGTGGTGAGTAATTGCCTTTGCAACTTGTTGGTCGCCCCTGTCCCTTTTTTTTTGCTCTTTGCTTATTCAACTGTCTTTAACTTGACCCATAAGCTTTTTCTCATCCTTGCTTTTCCAATTCTCTCCCTCATTCTGCAGCAGGGGAGAGTGGACAAGTGGCTTGTGGTCCTTAATTACCAGCTGGGGTCAACCCACCAATAATAGAATATTCAATATATAATAATATATAATAATAATTCAGTACAGTAAAAACAATATGACATTTGTTCTCATGAGATTTCCTTAACTTGAGGCTGCAAGCTCATGAAAACACACGGTGAGATAATCACTGCTGGTTCTGAAGCTTACTCAGATACAACCTCTAAACAATAATCTAATAATATGCATTTATGTACATACTGGACCTATATATATCAATCCCAGACCGGGTTCATACTTTCAAAGAAAGGTTGTGTAGGTTTGATTAGTTTTTTTCAAACATATAATTAGCTGCTGTGACTATAAAACTAGAGCTTGATGCACACAAAATTACTGTATTACACTTTTGCTTTTGGCTACTTCCAGCAATATCTAACTTTTAGTTTTCTAAGGTTCTGTTGTAGCATCTATTCAACTGCTCAAGTGGAAACATTCTCATGAAAATTGATTTAACAGTAATATTTCATTATTGCAACCTGTATAGTCTATCACGAAACTGGCCACTGATACCATTTTTTCCCCTAAAGCTCTTCAAACAATACATATGCTTAGGATTTTTCTGCTAATAATGTTAGGAGTTTTCACGCACATTGAAACTGCATAATTTAATAAAAAGAATTTATTTTAAGTAAAAAAAAAAATTAAAACGAGGTGCTACACTCACTTGGGTCATAGGACTCCATAAATCCAAACGGACCATAATCTATTGTTATGGACAATAAACTGAAGTTATCTGTATTGCACACACCTACAATTAAACAGAAAGGAGAAACAAAAGTTAAAATTCCACCTGACCCCGTAGCCTGTAGGAAATCTGCTGTGAAACAGACCCACTGAATCTGAGAACCCTGGAGCGGCTACTTGTGAGAAACGAGGCTCCGGACAATCAGCTGCTTGAAGCAGGAGGAGGAAGCGCTGGGTGCGCTCCCCGCTCCCCGCGCCAGGTGGCGCCGCTCCCCCTCCGGGCCGCTCAGGGCGGAGCCGGATCGGAGCGCATCGCTGGACTCTATCTTTGGTAACAGAAACCTGGAGCAAAGGAGGGCAGCACTGTACCCTACGCACTACAAGAGGCCGGGTTTTTATGCGGATGGATCAAATTCAGAGCAGTTAAACCTGTACATGACATCGACACGTTGTCTTTATACACGGGACTGTTGCAGCAGTTCTGGGAATTCACGCTCCCACCAGGAGACAGCAGAAGAACTGAAGACAAAAGTGAAAAATAAACCCCATTTTTAAGCATATGATTACAAAAAGTCCCTCCTGTAAAGCCAGTGCAGCTTACCATGTGCAAACCCCACAGACATCCACAATGCAATCAGATTTGCAGTCTCTGATACGACTGTAGAGAAAAATTCCTAAAATCAAATACATCTTTTACTTCAAGTCCTCTGTATCAAAAATAGTAAATGACATAAACATTTTATTCACCTTAGAAATATGTAATATATTCTATTTTAAAAATTTATATCTCTCTCTGTCAGGACTTTTCATTCACATTCTAAATTATGTGAGTGCATAATAAACTTATCCAGCAAAGACTATAGTTAAGTAAGTATTTACAGATGTCCTAAAAGAAATTAAAAACTAAAATTAAAAAAAAAATACACTCTATATACTAGCCTGTATACTAGAATATATTGTATATACTACTTTTATACTAGAAAAACTTCATGACCACTGCTCACTCAAAATCTGAGCAGTAAGAGAACAAATAATAACAGAAAATGGAAGCTTCACAATAAACATTTCTGTAACGAAAAGTGGTGAAGAATGTTCACATTTGATTTTGAGAAAACAAAAAAATCAAGAAGCAGATTTTTACTGCATAGAATTAACAAACTTTTGCTAATAAAACCTGGAAGCTTACTTCAAAATTTAAAACCTTTTAAAAGTTGAAACTCTGAAGAGCGTTGTGTAATTTTTGCTCACATGCTTGTGGAAATTAAAAATAACTTTTAAAAAAGACTTACCAGATATCTATTTGAATCATTCATAGCTATTGATGGAAAATGTTCCTGGATGACAAAGTCCAGTAATCTTCTGTAATAGGAGAGGCAGAATTCTTTAAACAAAACTGGTACTTTTAGAACTCATCATTCAAAATTCTTGTTTTCCAACAGCAAACTGCTAATCAACACCTTGCCACAAATAGTTATTAGAAAACTTAGTCTATTTATTCCAATGAGTATGGGATTAAGCTCTTCCAAATGCTTAGAGATAAAACCTAACCCTAAGGTTCCAGTCATAAACACAGCTGGAGATTGCCACACAGAGTAAAAATTATTTCCACACATTAAACCTCCAGAGCAGAACAGGATCTGGTTTTGCATGCAGCAATATCCATTTTTCAGGAAAATAGAGTTTGCATATGCAAAAAAAAAATGTATACAATTACAAGGAATAATTCTTCACCAGGATTCTCAAAAAGTAAGTTTTATGGCTGAATTCTTCAACCAAAAAATACTTTAACCCAAAAAAATACCCCAAACCAAAACTTAAAAGCAGTTCCCTAATTCAGTCTTTCAGTTTTACAATAAAAATCTGCTGAGATTAAAAAATAAAAGAAAACAAAACAAAGAATAGTAGCTGTGTAGAGTGATGTGGGAAATTAAACTGAATTATCAGTTACTACAATGTACAACTGCTGTTATGAGTTATTCCTCATTTGTGAGCATCCCAGAACAACTTCTAGTGCTCCTTTTAAATATTTACGGTAGATCTAAAAATTTGTCACGCTGAGAGGTTTAAAACTGTGCAATGATTTCTTACCTAGCATACTTCTCTAATTCTGCCCGTTTCTGGAGAGCACACTTTATACAACATACTTATGCTAGTGATTTATTTCATATTTCTGTTAATTTAGCTGCACAGACAACTACGAAAAATGTAGGAACTTATACTTTCAATTTACAAATCTTTCCAAAGCAAACAACTCCTCCCTAGTGCTTAGTTACCAGAGTTATTTCAGCTACAAAACCTTTCTCATTTTGTAAGACCCAGGCTTTTTACCCTGGTGAGGTATCTTTTGAATGCTTGTATAAAAATAGCAGGTTACCTTTCTAAATTATGTAATCTTACTTTCTAATTAATTTATGTCTAAATTCCAAGTGTATACATGCATTCTAATATATATTCAATTTTGAGAAAACTACTACAGTTACTATGGAGATTAAATTCAAACCTTTGTAAGTCCAGTTCCCCCGAATGAGCTAAGATTTCTAAGGATCCTATACGAAACCATGACTTGGCAAGACGTAGCACTATTGCACCTTAAATATAGAGACATATGTGTTTAAATGTAAACAGATTATCAGCAAAATAAAACAGTTGCATAGTAAAAGCCATCATGTGTTGTTTCTATAGACACAGAATTTATATATGCACAGTTAAACTGGTATTTTTGTAAGTATGCTTAACACGTAACAGATGAATATGTGTAGTGTATAATATTACTTCACTACACATACACTTTTAATGATAAAGCTTAATTTGCTATACCAGTAACCATAAGCAAAATTCTGTTAGTGCATTAATACTAGAATTACTCCAGAGACGGTAGGAACAGTGAAAGAACCAACATCAACAGATTTTGCCCATATTGTGCCATCCCACTCTTTTTCAGAGCAGGTGTAGATAACGTAGCAATGGCACAGCCACTGTAGCATTCCCACCACCCTAGTACTGCTATCGAAACAATGGAAAATTTTCCTATATCATTTTTGTAATGGCAAGTGAAAATTATATTCCTGCAACACATATGCCACAATCATAGAAGACCTGTTCATAGGGCTTCATCTCTTCAACCAAGATATGTTTCAGGCTGATTTTCCCAGGACAAGTTTTATATCTCAGTAAATGAAATTAAACCTATTTAGTACTTTTTTTGCATGGAGAATGAAGTTACACCATTGTAACATATTATTTCAAAATATGTTCATTACCTCTTTCTTTCTTAATGTTTCCATTGTAAAACTGGTCTCTCCACACATCATCATCACTTACAACTAAGCTGTAATGCACAAGAAATGAACATTAAAAAGTTATCTCAGCAAAAATAATTTGCAATTAAGTCATATTTTATATAAATCCATTTTGTTCATAAAAAGAAATATCTTTTTGGTGGCATAGCTCTGTATTTTAAAATGACACAGGCAAAGAGTAAGCCAAGGCTTATCAAGGTTCATTAGCAAGGTGCATTTATTTTGCACTTAATATAATGTTGTCCAATTTTCATTATTCACACTGTTCATGGCAAGAGGGTTGCACTCAAAAAAAAAAATGCATTCACTTGGAACCTCAGTGACTGATTACTGTGATTATAACATTAAATGAGTCACAGTTTCCCTGAGGACAACAGTGAAATCCTGACAGAAAAACTAGACACCAAATTGTTGCATCAGATGGAGGTTGCCCTTTACATGAGACAAAACTGTTGTCTCAGGAACTCTGGGAACAGATCAAGGACGTTTAGCAATCAGGAACTTTTCAAGACACAAAAAAAGACATAATTCTAATGATACATTACAATTATCCCTTCTTCAGTGGTAGTAGTGCTTGGATTTTTAAAAACAATCTCTTCCTTTCATTTGCCTTGAAATTCTGCACATCCTGTACATTTTCATATTTACCCAAATACTGAGATTTGTGAGTGTTTGGAACAACTTGCTCTAAAATATTTCACAACTTACATTAATTTTATGAAACAAAATACGTAATTTCACTGTATTTTCTGTTAAACCATGAAAAATCAATCCTCACAAACTATGCAAGGGTATCATGTTCCTCTAAGGTTAACAAGTAGGATGTTTCCATTCCAAAGGAATTGGGATGACACTAACAATCCGGCAGAAGAAATGCTTGGTGCTATCTTCTGAAGGAGGTCTTATCCCTTCAATAGGTCAAGATGACTTCTTGTTCAAGAGTCTAGCAGCAGGATAATTTAACTAATTTTGTATAATTTATCTTTGCTTGTTGAACTGGAAAATATTCTTTTATTCAGGAGTGACATGGACCTGCTGGAATGGGTCCAGAGGAGGGCCACAAAACTGATCAGAGGGGTGGAGCACCTCTCCAGTGAGGACAGGCTGAGAGAGTTTGGGTTGTTCAGCCTGGAGAACAGAAGGCTCTGGGGAGGAGACCTTACAGCACCTTCAAGTACCTAAAGAGGGCCCACAGGAAAGCTGGAAAGGGACTTTTTGCAAGGGCTGTTAGTGATAGGATGAGGGAAATGGCTTTATACTGAAAGGGGTCAGGTTTAGATTACATGTTAGGAAGAAGTTCTTTACTCAAAGGGTGGTGAGACACTGCCCAGAAAGGTGGTAGATGCCCCATCCTTGGAAACATTCAAGGTCAGGTTGGATGGGGCTCTGGACAACCTGATCTAGTTGAAGGTGTCCCTGCTCATTGCAGGGAGGGCTGGACTAGATGACAATTAAAGGTCCCTTCCAACCCAAACAATGATTCCATGATTCAAAATAGTTGGGTGGCACGCTATTTAATATTTAATGCAGCCACTTGTATATGCTGACTATTAGGGAGTTGAAGACAGCACAGAAGACAGAATCAAACTTTTCTGGAGGTACACAGCAAAGATCAAGAAGCAAACCTAATATTCCATTCATAAACATGACTGAAGACAGTCACAGTGTTAAAATAACTCCCAAGAGTTAAATTTTGAGAGTACACTAGATTCAAGGTCTACATACTTAAGCATAAAATTTTAGAAAGAATTCAGTTGGACCAAAAATGTGGGGTATGCATACATAAATATGTACCAAAAAAATAATGAAATTTTCTGAATTCTTACACAGTGCAGTTGCTTGCAACAGCAACTGTGGCTTTGAAACTAAATTACTGTTATTACATTCAGTATTTTTGAAGATATCTAGTAGATATTCAAATTGCATGTTCTGTTAACTGCAAAAAAACAGGCAGTGAATTGTTCCAGAAGGTGGGAAAATGTATCTAGAAATCAATCTGCTCCCATTACTGTAGCTGTACTGATACAAGTAGCATTAGGATTTTTTTTTTTTAATTACTCATTTGAAACCAATTGGTATGTCTGTAGGATTGACATAAGTGAGGTGGAAGAAGAAAATCTTAACCCTTTAAAAGAAAATAAAAAAATTCAAATACAGGGAATGAATCTCAGATACTTACAAAATATTGTGTGTATCAGAGCACCAGGGGACAGGAGTCAGAATAATAATGCTAATAATAATGCTACTAAATTTTCCTATTTTTAACAGACCTCTGCCAGAAGGGTTGTTTCTTTTGACTCTGTAACTCTTAGCAGGCTCTCTGCAAAGTTTCTGTAGAATACCAGCACTTCTTTTATTGCTGACAAAAAATCCATAGGGGCATCAACATTTAGTTACCAATACAAGTTAATGGACATGCAACACTTAAGGGCTGGCCAGGTAGCTGAGCAGCCACAGAAAGATACATTCCCACTATAAAAGTAGTTTTCAAATCGTCCCTTAGTTAGTAAGTACCATTACTGGAGAGAAGGCAGCAGCAGACCAGGTGTACACTCAACCACAGGAAATGGAGCACCAAAATTGCTCTTACACCAAAGAAGCTTGGAACAGCACTCACAGAAGGATGGATGGATTATATCTCTCCCTACCCAGCTCTCACTTAAGGGCCGGACTTTACACTCCAAAATGCTCTGCCTGCTTTTTTGCATGAACATCAAGCCTTATGCAAGTAAAGACCACTCTGAAAACTATGCATATTAGCTCACTTTTTTGACCTAATGCATGACAGTGCTCACTGCTAGTCCCAGTATGTGACTGAAATTGTACTGTATGAAGTGTTCTTTGTCTGGCAGCACAGTCATAAACTGTAGCACCCCATTGGGAACACAGTACTTAACATTAATAGAGCAAACCAACCTGCTGGGTGTTCTGGGATAAGCTGTAAGGCTTTTCCTTCCACTTCTGCCAAGATGTGACAAGACCTCTGTAAGTGCATCCCACCAGCCTCAGTACAACAGCTCCCCATTGGGAAGAATATGGATGTCAGCTGGGGTTTTTCCAAATTAGGTCTTGCAAACAGTCTGGAGATCTTGTACAGCAGTTAAGAGAGCCAGGCATTTAACCAATCTGCCAGCAGAGAACTAAAGCACGCTGTGTGCTCAGTAGAATTTGCGCAGAGTTAAAGAGTACTTTCATACTAGTTTGGCACTGAACAATTTGTTGAGACGACAGAAAAGAGAGGCTATAACCTGCCTGATGCTTTCCTGCTGATATTCAGACAGATTTAAAGTTCTGCATTAACAGCCAACAGCAAAGGGTCTCAGGATGAAGTCAGTGAATAAACCATCAAAAATGTCTTTTACAAGCACTGCATTTCAACAGAGCAAATGTGATAGAACTAATGCTAGAGAGATTTGCAGACACTTTGCAAATACATGTGGCAGCTGAATACAGGCCTTTTCTGCAGAACACTTACTTTCTCTGAAGCCTTAAACGTTGGAGTACAGACTTGAGACTACTTAGAACACAAAATCAACTTGACATGTTAAACACGATAATCAGTTACTTGATTCTGAGAAAATCATCCAAATGAGTGAAGTATTAAGTCTCCTTTGATTCAAAGAGAATTAGTTTTGGAATTTTTTTTATAAAATCTCTTTGCTCAAGGAGTGTTTGCATAAATAAAGAATTGAGAGCAATTGCCTACATTCAGTACTACCTCCAGTATTAACATCTGTTCACTGACAATTTTTCCCACCAATCTTAAAATGTGCAACTGACTGACTATAACTACAAAAATAGCCATTTTCAACATTTTCCTAGTTGGCTGGATTCTAGGAAAATTTATTCAAATGTTTAACTTTAGTGTAATAAAAGACTCATTTATTAACCATGAAAAATGTCATTGATTATCCCCATACACTAAAGGTATTATTACTGCTTACAGGGCAGGAATCCAGCCCTGCTGGTTTTGCAAGTCAGTGGTAAGAGAACAATTTCTTTGTATTTTAAAGAGATGAAACTCTTGATTGAAATATCATAAACTATGGAGAGGCAAGTTAGTGCCAGATATAATCACTCAATCTAAGTTCCACTTTTTACTTTCTTTACAAGATGAGCCACATTTCAAACTAAGGTAATTCTGTTAAGACAGTCTTACTAGTGAACAACAGCTGCTTACCACTAGACACAGATAGTACACAATATTGTTTTCAAATGAAGTAGTATTTCAAAGCGTAGCAGAGACAAAAGCAATGTGATTAATTGCTGGAGCTTATTATTATTGGAAAGTTTTATCCAAAAATCTATGGAACTGGAGGGATATATTTTGTTCTGATAGCACCCATATGAAAAGACCTATTGACTTGGAAACTAACTGTCCTGCATTATTGATGCTCAGTGAAACTCAGTCACAAAATTACCTGTAAATGAAGATACTGTGAAAAAGAAAAGAAAAATACCTAGCAGCTCTGCTTGTAGGAATTCCAAGATAGTGCATGGCCTCACTACATAAAAACTCTCTAACAGAAGAGCGAAGCACAGCTCTTCCATCCCCATTCCTACAAAGAACAGAGAAATAAGGAATAGGTCATAAAATCAAAGCAAATTTCAAAAAGAAAACATTCAATTTTGGTGTACACAGAACAACTGCAACTTACCTGGAGTATGGGGTCTTTCCTGACCCTTTCAACTGCAGTTCCCACCTCTCACCATGCCTGCAAAAATACCATTAGCATTTTTAACAGTACACCTTGAGCTATCCATCAATCAACTAAATTGAACACAGAGTTGAATCAGTCATTTAAAAAAAAGTCACACCTGTTTGTATATACTCCAACCAAGTGGGCTCTTCCATCCCCCAGCTGACCTGCCCAGGTACCAAACTGACAAAAATGAAAATCAAGTTATTTTCTTCTACCATTTATAACAGTTATACTTGAAACAATGCAAATTACATGTAGGTTCTCTGTGTTCTACACAATATAATGACACATTTTCTCATACAGTCATTATGAGGTTGATCCCTAAAGCTGTTATTTCCACACTCACACCAATAATTAATCAGAAAACCACAGAAAAAGAATAATGGCAGTAATCCCCACTTTTTTTCACCTTCCAGCTATGATGTACAGGTACAGACCTGCCTCGCTTGTATAATGAGCCTTTAAACTCACATGGCTTGTTTTGGTATTTTTAATTGGAAATTACAAACCAAATTCTACCATTCTTCTCCATTAATAATCACATCAATTGCAATAAAGCTTAACTCTTATTAATCATGGTATTGCAGTGAGGCTCTGCCCTTCTTCACTCCTCTGAGCTGATAATACCTGTCACGAATCAGAGCTGGCTAAGCTGCAGGGGTGCTAAGCAGAGTCAGCAGCTAATGGAAGTCAAAAAGACAATTTGCTTCAGGAATAAACAGAAGCAGAGGAAGTAAACATGGTACTGAGAAAGAATATTACAGTTTTCTTCCACCTGCAGCCCCTTATGAAAATCAAATCTGCAATCAAAATGTTAATAAGTGTTCATGTACTTACAGGTATTATCAAGGTATAATTCACATGAAAATGCTACATAATTCAACTTGGAAGAAATGAGTGCCACAGTTACCTGGTGACCCCCATATCTATGGGCCAATGGAACAGACCCAAGTATCACTTTCCCACCACTGACGAACTCAAGAAAATCAGATGTTCCTTTGACAGATATATCAAGATCCAAAATATTTTCAATAACTTCCTGGAGAAAAAAAGAATACAGTTAGTACTTGAAAATGATCGAATTGTCAGTGGTAATGAACATGTTTTCTCTACAGATTTAGTTACTAAAAGACAGTTCACAATGTATTTTATATATGCTTAAGTATGTTTTAAATATGTTTAAAGTATATAGTGATGAGATGCTTTTACAATAAATAGCATATGAATATTAAAATATACTTGAAAATATACTTTAGTACACATATTAACAATCTCTACTAATAGAGAGGAATAAAAAACAACAACCAACCTTTGAAACAGCTACAAGACGAACTCTAGATTTAAAAGGTGTAGGATAAACAATTGAAAAAATGCAGTTTCTCACATTACGGACATAATTTTCCTGGATCACATCAACTGGAAAAGGATCTGTAAACATGAAAGAGAGAAAAAATGTCTTTAAAAATTAATCATATCTTTCTAATGCCTTTCATCTTAAATCAAATAAAAATAATTCAGAAACAACTAAAACTCAAGTACTTACCACAATCTATATTAAGCCTGCATGAAAAGCAAGCCCAAATAAATTTAGGTTTTTATTCTGTTTGGAATTTTTGAAAAGAAAGACTGAATTCTGCAGTTAAAAGAATCTAGCAGGGCATGCTATGTTTAAGATCTAAACCATATCTAAGCAGTTTCATATTGCACTACATTATATACAACCCTAAAAGATATCTATATGAGACAGAGTTCAGCTATTCCCACAGCTGAATGTAGTTCAGTGCTGCACAATGTAGTGCAACAGACTTAAGTCACTGTGCACCATTAACTGCTGTATATAGTCCATATGCAGCAATGATCACCATGTAACCTAAGAAACCCTATGAAGTCTTTTCTGAGCAATGTAAACAGTGAATGAAAGGCTCAGAAGATGTAGTTCTCGCTGTAGCATAACATATGTACTCAGAAGATGTGCTTCATTCTTCCTTCGGACTTATTCTGTGCCCCAATTCATGGTAAGAGAGGACAAATATTGCTTTAAAGCACTTTATTAATACTGTGTGGTTTACCATCTTTATGAATTTTTGCTTGCAACAATCTTACAATTCCACATTAATTATACAATCCTAATACTTTATAGACACTGTTTTGTAAAAATTTTGAGTTAGCATCTCTGGACCCTTACTGTTAACCATGTTTGTCAATACCTCTACTAACAAATCCTCTTATAGCCAGCTGACACAAGATTTATCACTGACTATTATTTCTTAAAGCTCACAAGGAATTCTGTCACCTGATGAAATTAGTTCTGTAATGTTATAATATAAATTACCATAATGATTACAGGCAATTCTGTGTGCCTGAGAGCTACAACGTTTTGTGTACTGCCAGTCAGGTGTCAGGTTATCAATTCTGCATTAACTGGGACTCGGAAAAGAAAACACCAACCAAACAACCAAAAAAGCTCCTTACGGCCAGTCTGGTTTTAATTTTAGAAGTAGTATTTGTGTATATCAGGTCTTCACTTAGTTTCTGCTTGAGTAGCTGCCACAACCCACCAAGCAAGAGCCTCGGGGCGGGGCAGGGCAGGCGCACACAGCCGGGGCAGGGCAGGCCGTACCTAGGAGGCTGTCGGAGGACAAGGCCCAGGCGCAGAGATCCGCCGCCCCCCGGCGCCGCGGGCACTGCCCCGGCTCGGGGCGGGAGGCGTTCGGGGCCAGGCAGAGCCCGCGGGAGCCGCACAGCGCGGCCACACAGCCCCACGCCAGACAGGCGGCCAGCCAGGGGGGCCACCACATGTCCCCAAACCTTCAGCGAGTCCCCAAAGACACTGGCCCTGAGGTCTCCCTCCTTCTAAGAGAAGGCGGCGAGAGGCACAAGCAGCGCGCGGTGCCCGCTGCCCGGGCGTCCCCGTCGGCGCCCGGCCGGAGGGCGGTGGCGGTGCCCGCTGCCCTCCCCGCCCGCCCACGTGTTCTGCCGGCACCCCGCTGTAGGGCGGGGCTTCCGCGTCCGGGTCGCGGCGGTGCCGAGAGGCGGTGCCGGCGCGGCGGGGCTGGGGGACACCATGGCCTTGCGGTGGTGGTGGTGGTGGCGGCGGTGCGGCGCCTCGTCCCGCCGGGCGCCGCCGCTCGGCTCCGTGCCGCGCCCCGGCCCCCGCGCCCCGCCGGCCCCCAGCGCGGTGAGTGCGGCGGGCGCCGGGAGGTCACGGAATGAATGGGGCAGGGGGCCCGGGCGGGGCGCGGGGCCGGGCGGTCACCCCGCGGCCGCCGCGCCTTCGCCGTTCCGCAGCCTCCCGACCGGGAAGGGCGAAGGCCCGGAGGCGATTCCCTGCCAGGGGGTCCATGCTAGGGGCAGGAGCGCGCTCGGTGCAAGGTTAAACACTGGGTTAAGGGTTTTCGGGGCAGCGTTGGTTAGTGTGGTGAACCTCGCAGAGCCTTCTCTAGGTGGGAGCAGGGAAAACGGTTCTCATTAGTGTGAGATTTTGAACGCGTTTGTGTGTGAGGCGTAGTGGGAGCAGTTCTCTCGCTGCGTTCGTTTACAGCTTCTTCACAAGGCCAGAGGGCTGTTCTGACCCGCGGTAAAGGGCTCTGGCTGATGTGTCCAGCATCTCGTATGAGCCAGCCATACAGTGTTAAGCAGCGGTGTAAAGGAGGGAGTCTGTGTGTGCCCTCGTCGAAGGAAGATTAGCAAGAGATCAGCTATTTTTTTAACAACAGAACACGGTGAGATGTACGAGAGAGCAACTTACAAAGGTCTCAGCCGTTGGGCTGGACGCTGAAGTCACAGCAGTGAGCTGCAGAGTGTTAGGGTTTCTGTACTTCCCTTGTGTCCTTGCATGGCCTTTTTTCATACGCAAGGAGGATGAAAGGGTGTCCTTGAGCCATTACAGTGCTTTTGTTTCGCTCCCTTTGTCCAAGGAGAGACTTAAATCTACAAACAAGGAGACACTGAGGCCTGAGAAGCAGGTTCTCTAGTCCTAGGTCTTCTTGAGTATTCTTTTGCAGGCTTTTCCGGAGACAGTTTGGTGAACACGTGGATTGCAGTGATTTCAGGCTGGCTCAGCCCAGCACGGCCCCTGAGTCAGCCTGCGTTGGAGGACAGGGCTGGGTCGTCCTGGCCCGACTGCCAGGAGCAGAGCAAAAGCTGTACTCCCTTTCTCAGCTGGACATCATGTACTTGGGACTGTGCCTTCCCTCAGGCTCCTGGGCTATGTCTGCAGGCAGAGATCATTGGAGACATTGCTAGGTTTGGAAGTTAGATTCTGGACATCTAGCAGGGAGATAGGCAGGTGTAGATTATCATAAGCAACAAGCTGAATTGAAATTGCTTCAGGGAAAAACAAGGACATGTTCTTCTGTTAGTGTACTGGTTTACTGAAATAGCTCTTGCCCTTTTCTCTGTGCCTTGACTAGTGCAGTCCAGATTTATCTGCAAGACAGGGAACACTGGAAGATTACACCTTGCACAAGTGCAAAAGCAAGGTTTCGTTAGAGCAGTTTTGGTAATTTAACTGATAAGGCTCCTGGGTTGGTCCTGCAAGGGGAGAAAGTCCAACACTCCTGAGCGGAAGAGTCAGTTTAATGTGTCTGTTGGCACATTCTCTCGTTATCACTCATGTGATATGGAAGGAGATTATGAGACTCCCTTTGATGCAGGGTTGTTAAAATGGAGAAATAGAGTAGTGCTGATGAACAGATACATGTTTTTTATAGTGAATGTTTTCTGTCAGTTTAAAGCTCTAATAAATTAACCCTGGTTTTATTTTGTACAGATGTGTCACTTTACCCAAAGAAGTTCAGCTTTGTCGTTTCCAAAAATATGTAATGTATTTTGGCGGTAAGTTGGAGAGTCATATTGTTATGTAATGGGTAAAGACACCGTTGTTGGGTGAACTGAGTAGTTATACCTGTGAGCTATAAACTTTGCTCGCTCTAATACGTAGTTGGATAATTCTGTGTAGACTGTTGCTGTGGTGCTGAGTCTGAATCCAAGTCCTCTGTCCTTGAGAGTAGCAGGCAAAGCAGGTATGCTGCAAGAGAATATACATGGTTCACTTTGGAAAAGGAAATATAATAAGAAACATAAACTTCAGCTCCAGGAAACAAAAAAAGTAAATCAGGCGTACGCTTGATGCATACAGGTAGAGCTTCCCCCCTTTCCTGATGAACATTCATAGCATCCTCATGCTACATGGAAGTATTGATTTAATTTATAATGTAACTGGGTGTGCAAATGAGAAAATTTCAAATCCAGTTCAGGAATATTTTTCCAGGAGTTTACAAGAGAGGGAAGAAATTAACAGAATACTTATATTACGGGAAGATAAAGGCTTTATCTCCAATCATAGGCTATACTATATGTAGTGTCTTCAAAAGGAGTACATTGAGAGAAATGTAGTTCTATGTGTCTCAGAAGACTTCTGTAATCTGTTAAGGCTGGGGGGGAGGGTGTTCCTGTTTGCCAAAGGCGCTTTGCCAGCTCCTAAAAATTTATGATCACCAGTATGTAGCTGTGCTGTGCTTACACCTTACTATCTGGCTGAAAAGAATGTATTGATGCCGTCATCTATTTTAACCCTTTGGTTACATCTTGTGTGAGGAAAGAGGAGGAGGAGGAAATGCTTTCAAATGTTTCCGTTTGAGGAATCAGGGAAAGTTTGCTTTTAACAACACTATTGTCTTAAAAAACACTATCACCAGGTTTCATCATACAAGTACATCCCACTTGTGCAGCTGCAGTAAGACAGTTAGTGATGAAAATTACCAAGACCCTTTTCAACTTGGTAGAAAAGACTTGAAGAATCTCTATGAAGATATTAAAAAGGTAAGGGATTTTGGTGACTATTCTGGGATGTTGCAATGATTGTTTTTAATACCAACCATCAACTTGGATGACACTTATTGAAAGAATATTATTTATGTTTATGAACAAATGTCTGAAGCTTAAACTGAAGGCAAAAGGAGCATTTCTGATATTTTATAGAACCAGAATGCAATTTTTTTTCTCCTGATTTGCAGTGATGAAATACCTTTATGTTTCAGATTGCTCATAGTAATTTTAAAAACAATTTCAGCTTACACTGGGTGGAATGAACGCAGGCAATAACCTTTTACACGCATATTGTTTTACTTACACTAAACAGATTGACTTTGTGACTTCTATGCTGAAACGTTCTTGTCCTTTATGTAGGAATTACTTGTTTCTGCAGCAGAACTTAAGGAAATGTGTGATTATTACTTTGATGGGAAAGGAAAGGCTTTTCGACCCATGATTGTGGTGCTAATGGCTCGGGCTTGCAACATTCACCATAATAATTCCAAGTGAGTTGGTCACTTTTAGATATATTAATCATACTTGAAAGTTATAATTCTTGTGTTTCTAAAAAATATGTCTAGTAACTTTATGAAAATAAAACGCTCCTCAGTAAAACCTGAATTTAAGTTCCATCTTGAAGCTATATTTTTGTAGTTACCAGTGCAAAAGGAACTGCTGGATTTATTACATTTTTCCATGTATAAAATTGTGGACTGCACTTGTAACTGGTAATGGATAAATAATGTTGCCAAATTACGATATTTGTAAGGCTTTTAGTCAGTTCTAGCTTCTTGCGTAAATGCTTTATTAGAAACTAAATGAACTTCCTTAAAAGTATTTTCATTTGTAACCATTCCTGTTCCTATTAAGCTCTTGTTACAGGTAAGAACTTTGCTGCGAGAACAGACTCTCATAGGCTTTTTCAGTAATTATGCAGAAAAGCCATTAAGCAATTGGTATGATTATATTCAAAGCTGTGAGACGTTCAAAACAGTCAGGAGGGTTTTTTCACCCTCTAGGAGCAAGTTTCTATACTATAATGTAAGATTCTAAGCTTAGAGCTGGTGTAATCCTTATGAGCTTGTCTTTTGAAAGCAGTTTTAACTGAGCAGAACATCGTGCTCGCCTATACTCTCTGTCACTCCTTGCTCTGGCTCACAGCAAATGCTTCTCTCCGCACGTTCCTATCAGTTGCTGTGTTTGCATTTTGAGGAAAGACGTTGGCTGGAGTGTTCTCTGCTACACTGTTCCAGCTACACTTCCAGTCTTGCCTTGTATAGAATTTCAGATAACAAATCTTTGGTCCCTTTCCAGAAGTATTTCTAGACTAATTCGTCACTGTTACAGGGGATTTCTCTGAGCTCTTGTATCAACTTTCCAGTAGTAGTAGTTTAATGCCTTGTTGGACTTGATTACTACCTCAGAGCATGGCATATATTTTGCTGTTTTATGGTACCTCTCCCTGAATACCCCCTCCTATGTGAATATAGTTTCAAAGGAGAAAGCAAAACCTAGTTGGCAGTGTCCTGTCCTGTGTGTGCCAATTCCCCCTGTTTTGCAAAAACGTTGTCCAGGATTAGTGAACTTTGCTTCAGTTTGATTCTGTTCTCCATTCAGGACTGCTCTATATCATTGTCTTAGAGATAGCAAACAGAATAATGTTGGTTGTGAAACTCCTCAGGGATGTCCTTTGTCACAGCACTGATTGGCTTAATATTTTCGTGAGTGATCTTGACCTGAAAAACAGGAGCATAATGATGGCACTTTCTGATGACAAAACCATTCTTGATGATCAGCCATCCATGCTGAAATGTAAGGAAGCACAATAAACCAAAAATTTCTGCTTGAGCTTGCAGGCTTATGTGTGTCCCATTAGGGCATAACTCCATTGTGGTTTGCAGTCACCTTCTCTATGAAAAATCTTAAAGTTATCCTAGCGTGTGTCAACCCTAGTATATCCAGTATAAAACACTTTCTAAAATCATCAGATTCAGTGTCAGATCCCTGTGTTCAGAAGAAGTCCAGTTAGCTTCAGGCATGAACTGCAGAGATAATTAGGGAGAATGAAGACTTGTGGTCTGCAAATATATCAGGAACGGGGTGAAAGAGCTATTAAGACAAAGACTTCTATTGCTAAGAGGATGGAAACTTAGGAGACTTTTAACAGCTGGGGCAGTGAGTTTTTAGAGCATCTTTCTAGTCAGAATAACAGTAAAAAAATAGTTTTATCTCATTCTAGTGTGTAGCATGAGGAGCTTATGAACGAAATTATGCTTGCAATACTGAGAAGGCTGGAACTGATGTCATATAGCGTGGGAGTTGAAGAGTGAATCAAAGAGAAATAGTGGTAGAAAGACTGAATTTGCCTTTGTGCTCAAAACATATTTGCTGTTTTCTGGCATATGTATATGTTCAAGGACATATTTTTGTCCACGTGTCTCGAAACCGTCAAGACCAGTTTTGAGACCTGCCCTATGCCAGTGAGAAAGTGTGATCTCTGAGTTCAAGTGACACATATGCCTGGGGCAGGTGTTTGCTTTGCGGTAGCCAGCCCTCAGCATAAGTCCTCTGATTTATACGTGCTTGTGTCATTTGGCAGCTTTTGTACATCTGTTGCAGTTCGGTGTTTTAAAAGCCTCCTCGATAATCTGAATGTTCCTTGTATAAACCAGACTGAGTCACTATCCCTGATATGTTGCTTCTAAAATGAAAGTCTGAGTGGGGAGAACAAATGTTTCACCAAAGAAATATAATGAAATCTCAGGGTATTTACCTTCCTCTTCTTTGCCTCTTGCCAATTTCTCTAAGCCTGTGATTGTAATTAAATATCACATATGTTGGTACAAGTCTTCACTGTACTGCTCTTTGGTTCATGCATGATGACCGATGTTTTTTGAGAGTTGGCTGGGCCATGCCCAAAGAATGTACGTTCATACTGTGGATACCCACTTCCTGTGAGCTAATGAAGTTTTATGGGCATTTTCTTCTCTTTTGCTTTCAAGCTTCTCGAAGCAGGCTGTGTTACACCTGCTCTGTATACATATATACTTCCAGTTCACACTGATACTGGTTTCATTATTGTTGTTTCTTAAAGCAGCATTGTTTCCAGGTGATGAATTGTTCTTCCAACTTATTAATGTTTGTAAGGAAAATTGTATATGTAGAGAAGGAAACACTGTGTATTTGTAAGTCTGCTACTCTCTCTGTACACCCTAGGGGAAAAATACTTGCCTTTCATTCTGCTTCTCACAACACTTTTTTAAGATGTTTTTCCTCTTTCAACTTGTCGTTTCCCTTAAAGTATTTTGTCATTCTGTTCCTCAGTTAATATTGATTCTTCTCCCAGACTTGTTTTATTTTGTTGAAGCTTTGGTTCCCACACATGTAGTCAAAGACACTGACTGCAGTGTCTGTAGACTTGCAGAGTGAACCAATATCCTGTGCTGTTCATCCCTAGCATTTTTCTTTTTTTTATCCCGCTTCTGGGGTTTGTGTTACTGATGTTGAGCTTCTGCTTCATCTTGGTGCCATTCTGAACTGTCATATAACTTGCTAGACCCAGCATGCTTTTGCCTGCTCTTTCATTTGTTGGGGTTATTTTTTTTCTTCTTTTGTGCTATACTTGTATAAAAGGAATACTTTGCTTTGTTTGGCTGTTACAATAAAAGGACTCAACTTAGTAAGGTTATAGGTCCTGATCTTAGGAGGCAGTGCAGAGAGACCTCTTTGTCTTCACAGAGTCCCACCAGAGTAACTGAGATTTCTCAGGAGAATGGAGTGGAATGCCCAGATATCTCTGCTTACAGGTTAGGTGACATGATCATTTCTGTTGAGATTTGAGGCAGGCGAAGTAATTAGAATACCCTCAGCAAGTTAACTGTTTTTCTAGAGTGAGGTCACTTTATTGTAGTCATAATAAGGAAAATGACAGTTTTAATAAAGAATTATCTGAACTATTATCAAAAATATAAGTGGCTGAAGCACTCAGATAGTTCTGTGTTGGTATGTTGTTTGTTTTCTCTTGAAGTTCTAAGTGCCAGAAGTCCAAGTCCCTTGGGCAGTGGCTTTTTGCTTATTGATAGCAACTAAGCTATGTGTGAGTGAGAATTGTTGTAAATAGTTTAAGCTGAGGTCATACAAACCCTCAATTTCACGCATCCGCTGGCATTTCTTCACATACCTGTGTGCAGAATTTCACAGAATTACCACTTAGCTTGACAGGAGCTGTTTCTGTTTAGAGTGTATTCTCCAAAGGTGTTTGCAAATAAGAGTTTTTATTTCTATTTCTGCAACCAAAATGAGAGAGACAAAAAAGAAAGGACCAAAGAAGTACAGAGACATCTCAAGAGAGAAAATAGGAGGGGGAAAGGGAAGTAAATTCATTAGAATAGTGTGAGAAACATTTCTATATAATGACCTGGCTAAACTCGATAGAATAATATTTCCTAAAGATATGAGGACCTGCCAGCAACCCTAGTCCTCTTTCACTCCCCCAGATGGTGGTTGTCAGAAGCCTGTACTCTGCTGGTTTTCAGCTGCTGTGCAACTTGCTGCCATACTAACACATACATTATTTGTGCTTCTCCTAGTTTGTAGTGCCCTCCATGTCACAGACTGTGTTTCTGTAATGGTTGTTTCAGCCACAGGGGCTTAACAGCAGAAATGTACTTGGAGATATGTGGTTATAACACAGAAATTTTGCAAGTTCTCTTGCAATTTCCTATCTTTAAACTGGCAAAATATTTACTTACTAGCAAACACATTGCAAAGCTCTTTGTTTCAGAGTGTGAATACTGGTTTGCATCATTTTGAGTTCCCCCCTCACTGTCTGGGGGGGGGTTGTCTTTTTTGAAGAGGGATATTTGTAGGGAAAGATGTGTTTGGATTTTTTTTAACCTATAAGTTGAGCCTTGGTCTTGTTCAGTATACATGAAATAAGTCCTGTAATGAAAAACACCTCAAGGTACTGTAAGTCTATAGAACCTTATCACAGAATCAAGCAGGGGAGGTCCTCCTGAAAAACAGAACATGCTCAAGGACTTAAAATTTAATATATTGCATGTGTAAAAAGATAAACTTACAGTTGTACAAAAAAAATTATATGAGTACGTATCATCTTGGGGTGTCTTTACTTTGAGAATGACCTAAAAATGGCATCTTTCCACTTACTGGGTAAGTGCGGGCCCAGTTATCTATTGACTTGAGTTACTGCCACTTTTTGCTTTTGTCTTGCAGGCAAAGCTGAATGAAAAATGGCAGGGAATGAGAAGGATCCTCTTTCTTGTGTGTTTTCCCCTAAAATAGGCATGCTCTGATTCAGAATTACTCTCACAAGATGCTCGTAGGAAACTATTGCAGATTTTTTTTGCCAGCAACGGAAAGAATCTTGGTTGAGACGTTATGGAAATAGTAGTTTAAAAAAAGCTTTCAGATTAAATTATCACATTTGATATAACATTCTGGAAACCAGACACACGAACCATTAGCATTCCTGTGCCATTTTTAGTCATTGTCAGAGATGACATGCACTAAAATGCAGAACTTTTCAAAACCTGCTTTTGAAATATCTGGTTTTGTACTGTCTTCATACTACTGAAAGATTTTGGTGTGTCGGTTGAGTGTTGCCATTTACTGCTGCTTCCCAGCAGGAAGTCCAGTCTGCTGACATTATTAATGAAAAAGGGAATCCCCAAAAGGAGACCAGTGCATGAAAGAGGCTGGAGACCTTTACAGTTTTTTGAAGGTAAGTTTTCTCCTACTTAGTAAGAATAGTTTATTTTGGAAAACTATTTACACTGAACTAGCATTTGACTAAATTATTACTCCACAGTAAAACTTGCCTTCAAACCACCATGAAGGTTTCCAGCTCTTATTTTCTGTTGTGTAAAAGCCACATTTTCAGAGCCTGGGAGCTATGCATTCATCCTGCTATTGTTCAGGATGTAAAACTCCCACTGAGAGCAATGCAGAATTCTGTGTAGAGGTAGGTGTCAGCACACTGCAAGATGTTCTTCCCTTTTGTGATTAATCACTACATTTTAATAGACATAGGCAGTGCAGGAAGGTTTTAAATTCCCTACAGCTGAGCTGGAATTATTGTCTTTTGTTTCAGTTCTTTTTCTGTTCTGCTGGAAAATAGTGTGATTTTCTGTGTTGTCTGTATACCAGAAGTAGGGTATCTATATATCAGAAGTAATTTTTTCTTTTGTTGATTTTTTTGGTTTTTGGGTTTTTGTTGGTGTTTTATGTCCATGTGGACTTGTTACAGCTATGAGACAAAGCTGGCTGGGATAGCCATTTCTGGGATTCTGCATGTAACCCGTGATGAAAAGAGGTAGAAAAAAAGATGGTACAGAACAAGATAGTGGCAGTTGGATACTGGGGTAGATGGTCCTTGATGAGAGCTAGGTAGGCTCTTTTATGCTAATTTTGCCAGTCTTGTTCCCTAGATATTTGCTTCTATATTGTTCCATTACCTTCTTTTCACTTAGTTTAAAAAATAAAGTAGGTGTGAACTACTGAGAGTTGACTCATCAGTGTTAGATTATCCCAAAGGCTGAATTCCAGTAAGTGTTAGGTAGTTGGTGTTTACAGTCCTAAAGTGATTGCGGTATAATTCCAGTTAAGTCCTTAGGCTTTTGAAGAACCTCTGAGGTTTTAAGGTAATCAGATAACATAAAGGATAAGATCCATGAGTTATGTCTTTCAGATGTAGAATACAGGTTTCTGTGCCTTCTGATCTCTCCAGCTTGCTGGTTAGTAGAGTTATCTAGCTTTGGAGTTTGTGATGCTGGTTAATAGGTAGAGCAATACAGAGATAAGGAAAACTTTAAACTCATCTACAAAGATACCTGGCATTCTTTTCTCTGCTGTTTTCCATCTCCTTGAAACCAAGCGTCCTTGATGCTGTGCTATTTATCGCAATCTGGATTTAGAGGGATTAGAGTCAATAATGAAGGAGTTTTGCTGTACTGTTAATGCAGCAAGGTAGAAATAGGCCTTTAATAAGGATGGAAACATCCTATTGCACTTACTGTATTAATGTGATGTTAACTTCTCTTGTCTTCCCAATTCCAGGTTTGAAAATGGGGTTCAGACCACAGAAAAGCTGCGACAGCTGTTTTCAGAAAAACATTTTTTAGTTTTAGTAGGGATTTCTTTTAGTGTATTGCACGATATGTAACTGATTTAATTGTTTGACAGTTCTTGTTTTTTATTTTAGGGAGGTGCAAGCAAGCCAGCGCTCTGTGGCCATAATTGCTGAGATGATCCACACAGCCAGTCTAGTTCATGATGATGTTATTGATGATGCAAATTCTCGCAGAGGAAAAAGGACACTTAATCAAATCTGGGGAGAGAGGAAGGTGAGTTTGCTAATAAGTGCAAGACTTGCCTTTGAATTTCAGCAAAGCACAAACACCTAGAGTTTTGTAAAGTTACTATCCCTAGGTCTTGGGATATGCTGGAAAAAGTATGAAAAGGTGTACACAGTTTGTGGGTGAGACAAATGTGTGTTCCTTTTCTGAACTGTTGAAAACATTAGATAATGAGTGATTGTAGTGTGTAGTGTTGAGCCTGTTCAGCCTCGAGAAGAGATGACTGAGAGGGGACCTCATCAGTGTCTATAAGTATCGGAAGGGAGGGTGTCCAGAGGACGGAGCCAGGCTCTGCTCAGTGGTGCCAAGCAATGGGACAAGAGCCACAGGGCAGAAACACGCACAGGAAGTTCCACCTGAACATGAGGAAGAACTTCTTTACCGTGCAGTGACTTCTTTACCACACTGGAACAGGTTGCCCAGAGAGGTTGTAAAGTCTCCCTCGCTGGAGAGATTCAGGAACTGTCTGGACACAGTTCTGTGCCATGTGCTCTAGGATGACCCTGCTTGAGCAGGGAGGTTGGACCAGATGACCGTGTAGTCCCTTCTGGCCTGACCCATTCTGTGATTCTTACTGGTTTTACATTCCCTATGCCATTGTCTGCAGTGCTATTGGAACACCTTGAACTTGTACCTCATCTTGAACACTGTATATTAGTCTGATCAGTAGTGAAAACAAAAGTGTTTTCAGTCAGCAGGAAATTTTTTTTGAGAGTGGTGTTTCTTCATAGCACATTACAAGGAAGGTCTTAATCAGAAAATGCAAGGAAGGAAATACACTGCTGACGCACCAGAACTTACGGCAATTCAGAGTTCACGTGGTGTGGCAGTCACAACAGAATGGTCAAATAGAGAATTAATGTTCAAAAAAAACTTCATAGGCAAACAAATGTTCAGGTATTGCATACAGGGAGGACAGAGCTTATATAGAAAAATACAAACAACACTATAAGATTCAAAAATTATTCGGACTTCAATATTTGGTGATCTTCTGGTTTTTCTGTTACAATGAGATATTTGTGCTTTATGCAGGAAAGTTACGTGATGTGAGTAGATTTGCCAAATAAAGGAAATTGTATCATCTCTGCTAACACTGGAAAAGACTTAAGAGTTTGTTTTGTTTTTTTTATTCTTAGGCTGTTCTAGCTGGTGACTTCATCCTCTCAGCTGCTTCTGTAGCTTTAGCCCGAATTGGAAATACTACTATCGTCTCTGTTCTAACTCAGGTGATTGAAGATCTGGTGCGTGGTAAGGTCTTTTTCTATTTATTCTTCAGATTTGCTTGCCTAAGCAGTAAACCCATAAATAAAACCACCCATCTGTGCATCTTTTTAGGTGAATTCCTCCAGTTGGGTTCCAAGGAAAACGAGAATGAGAGATTTGCTCACTACCTCGAGAAGACTTTTAAGAAGACTGCGAGTCTTATAGCAAACAGTTGTAAAGCAGTATGTACGTCTGTCTCTTCTCAAGTTAACACACCATACTGTGAGCTTCACAGTTAAACTCCCAGTTATTGCTGTTTTCTCTGGAGACCCTCCAAAGCAAACCCTTTAAATGGTATTCAGCCGGAATGTGAATGGGTTTGAGACTGTGAATATTATCACAATTCAGCTGTGTAGCCTCCAATATCGTTTTGCACTTTTTCTTTTCTGTTTTTTATTCATACACGGATTTATTGTTATCCTCACTTGACTCAAAATAAGGATCACAGTGGCAGCCTTTAATTTATGAAATTCTCCAACCTTGAGGCAGTAGTTTTCGTCTCAGTTGATCATTCTTGAGCCTATAATTTGATTTTAAGTCATCTTTGGCATCTGTCCCTACTCATTGGTAGTGAGACCTTAAATGATAACAGTGGGAAGAAACAATTAATTGTTTATACTGTAGACCATATTGTGAAAGAACAGAAGCATGTACATGATTTGTCTGTGGGTTTTAATTATCAATTGCTATATCCAATTCTATCTGTAATTCAGTTCTGTTACTTGATTACAAAAAGATCCAACTCAAGATTATGTTCTTATTCAGAAATACATGTTTAGTTTTAGTGCAGAAAATGGAGAAGGTGGGCAGTAATCTTACCCCAAGAGAGTTTTTTTTTTTTTTAATTAAAGGCAGTAGATTGGTGTATTCTGGTGTATTCCATAGCAAGAGGGAGTTCTAAGAGAATTAGACTAAAAATCTGTGCTGATGTTAATCATCTTGTTTTGTTCTCAGAGAACTGGTACATTTGTGCAACAGACAGCAGTGGAAAATTGCTTCTATCAAAAGGATCACACAGAATGAGAGACATGGATTTTATAGGGAGGGAAAATGTCTTTCATTCTAGTTGGAGGAAAGAAATTAAATCTTTTGGATTGTTCATATTAATGGCAGTATGGCCCTGGCAAGAATTTTCTTTGCAAGTCTTTTATATCAGTGGGCACCTGGACTTGTAAAGAGCATCACATTATTCTGCTATCCTAGTAAAAACATACATGTTTTTCTGTTCACTTTGACAGTCTCTCTAAAATCATCTTTGCAGATAGAAGAAATCACCTTCCCGCTGAGTGAATTCTCCTTATAAATGTGCTAATTTGAGCTTTTTCCTTTTCCTGACTAGCAAGAGTTAAGGCTTTAAGCACTCCTCTCAAGATAGAGACTGTAATGCTGGAGGGTGGTGTTTGGCTGCTTTTCTTCTAGTGGCTGGTCTGAGTTGTTCCATTGCTGAATTGCTGGAATTTTATATGCTGTAAGATTTGTGTTATAAAGGAAAGCCGAGTGAGAGGACTGTCTTCACGGCAAAACCATACTTACTGCACAGAGCAGTAATGAGTTGTATGTGTATGTCTCCCTCAGTTTCTTTCTGCATGGATTAGGAGAGGTCCATTGATAGCAGTGAAAAGGGAACTTTTTTTGTTTGAGATTTGGAGGTTTTTTGGTGTGTTTGGGTTTTGACACATTTTTGTTCAGATGACTTTGACTACTAAGGAAATGGATGGAATCAGAATGGAGATCTGTTTTCTGTAGTGAAAATTATCCAGATCATCAGTTCTAGCTTGAAATTCAGTTAGGGAATCAAGAGTATTCATATTTTGTTTTTAGGGACAAAGCTAAGGAAAGAGATTATTGGTTTTCAGAACATCAGTTACAACCAGGCTAGTGTGCCATTAAAAGCAGTTCAGTTCCTGTTAATGATATGGAAAAACTGATTTGTTGCTGTGCATAAATAAAATAAAAGTATTAACTGGAAAGAAGATGTCAAACAAGTTCAGATGGCATCTTAGCATTCTACATTCTTAGAGACGGAAGAGTAGAGTATTCCTGGAAAAATGTCTAAGCAAGATTATAGAGTCTGTCAACACCAGTCTAGTTCACTGTATTAGATACCTTCTGCACTGCCAAAGCATTACTGCATTTAAATCAAAGTCCTTTAAGTTAGCAAAATACTTTTTTTATAGACAGAATAGTCTGTTCAAGATGTTAGAGCCATCCCAGTCTCCAGTTTATTTCTGCATGGCAGAATGTTACAAAGTTTCAGTCAAAGTAATAAATTGCAAAAGGAAATGGTGGCAGATGGCCCAGACGGTCATTGAAGCCTTAGTTACTGAAAGGCATTTTTCAAAGAAACACGAGAGGTGACTTTGGTTCAAGAATTCAGAAACAATAAAGCTGAAGTGGAATTTCTGTTTAGTCATCAGGCAAGCTGGAGATGGCAAAATAACTTAAGCAGGTTCTCTTTCTTTTTTTACCCTGCTATAATGTGAATTCCTAAGACCGTTTATATTTTGCACAGCATACTTTCAGAAGAGGGATTAAATCATGCTTGCTTTGAGATAAGTGGAAAGTTGCACTTGACGTTCTTGATTTCTGTATTAGGAGAAAGCATGCAGCCTCCTTGTGTGAGGCAAGGCTGTGTGTGGAAGGTCTGCCTTAGGGACCGAAGAAAACAAATAGTCTGCAGCTCTGGATCTACCTGTGAGCTCCTGCTGTAACTAGTTCATCGTTTAGTGTGTGCACAGGGCTCCATCAGAAAACCTAAAACAGTGTGGAACTGGTGTCTAAGAAAATAAGACCTCTGATCCCCACCAGCAGAATTGGTCCCCCTAGCCCAGTTAAGCACACAGACTGCAATAATGGCCAATGACAGATTTCTGTAAAAGTACAATTCTTCATAAACAGGTATTTGGTTAGCATGTTAAAATGTTAGTTACTTGAGAAAAGGTCAAATGCATGAAAATGCAGGTTCAGGACAAGATAGTTGTCTGCAGTGTGGGGGGGGTTCTGCTGGGTAGTCATCTCCCTCTCCCAGGAGGCCCTCACCACCCCCTTGGCAGGAGCAGTTACAAAAAGGGATTTGAAGATCCTGGAGGAAGTAAGGATGTACCCGCAGCAGGGAGGGACAGGCACACTGGGTGCATCGCTGCCAGCATGGCCAGCACATCCAGGGCAGGGACTGTTCTCTGTCCAGCATGTGTGAGACCACAGGGCTGGGCTCCCTCTTCCAGGACAGACATGGACACTGTGGAGTGAGTTCAGCAAAGGGCCACTGTGATGGCAGGGACTGGAGCAGATGATATGCCAAGAGCTGGTTTTAGTCTGGAGCAGAGAAGGAAAGAAGAAGGAAAATTGGAGGGCGCAGAGAGGATGGAGAGATGTGCAGTGAAAGGACAAGTTCATGGAAAAATTCAGTTGGCTCTTAGGAAAAATTTCTCTATGAGGTTGGTCAAACGCTGCAACAGGTCGCCCAGACAGAGTGTGGGATTTTTCATCCTTGGAGTTGCTCAGAAGTCAACTGGGCACAGCCCTGAGAAACCTGATCTAACTGTGAAGTAGAGTGCTTTGAGCAGACGACTGGACCAAATAACTTTCAGAGTTCCCCTCCAGCCTAAACTATTCTGTGATTCTACTGGAAAGAAGGAACAGCTCTCTTGTCTAGAAGAACAGCAGTGGATGAGCCATGAATGAGAAGGCAGGAACCTGACTGCTTCTAGTGATGGGCACGGAGGAGAAAGTCTCGAAAAGGGGAAGATTTTAGAGGCTTTTCCTTTTCAGAAATCTAGGAGTGCAAGAACAAACATCTCTTGTACTGTTTATACAAGCATATCCTGGCACAGCAGCAGGTTTTCCTCTGTGACCTGCAGGGCACCGGTAGAAATGTGCAAGTGCTTTCAACACCAGCTGCCATATTGTCACATATTAAATATCAGAGCGGGACCTATCTACCCAGAGCTGATTATATATTTTACAGATGTAAAATTCAGTAAAGAGGCAAGATTGATTCACAGTCTCTCATATAACATACTAGAAACAACTTTTTATTGCAAAAAGTGTGTTTGAAATAATACCGAGCAGATTTGACTTGCTTTATTGAATTTAGAGGACATTTCTAAAGAATTTGTTCCACCTGGTATTAGGATTTTTCATCATGATTTAGTGGAGAACAGGTCTGAATTCTTACAAGATTAAATTTGTCATCAACAAGTCATATCTATTAGGGGAGCTACAGAATGTTTTTAAGGGATGAGCTTTATAATTTAAACATGTCATTGCATTGACTTGGTTCCCTGATTTGTATTTGCAAATGCATGCTATTATCCCAGTATGGCTTCAGTTAAACTTCATCTGGGATTGACAAGCTGCCTGGCTGCATCCTGGTGAGTGTCCAGGTGGGGGCAATAATCTACAAGAGCATTTTGAGAAATTGCATCCTGAAGGAACTCCCTGGTAGACATGACCCAGCCATGTTGCAGGTTTATGGTCATGGTTAGAGGGTTGCTCACTTGAGGATGACTGGCAAATCAATCTCCTGGATTTTGTCTTTTTGTTTGTCTTTCTTTTTGTATATGAACAAGAAATGTTCATAACCTGAACAGGAGCTATGGCAGTCTTCTCTTGCAAAGATGCAAGAGTTAATTGTGCATTGATGAATATTTCTTGTGTTATATTCTGTACCTAAGAGTTGTTTTTTGCATGTACATACACTGGTGGGATTCTTTGTATAGGTGATATCTGTGTCCCTTGAAAACTGTCCACCAACAGGAGTAGCTCTGTTCTTTCTGACTTTTCAAATTAAATGAGGAAGCTCCTCTCTTTACACGGCACTTCCTCTCCACCTCTGCCAACTAGTGCCCGTTCTGATCCTTTGCCATTCATTCACCAGGATTTTGTTCTACTGAAATCCATATTTTACTCCTCCACATGACATGAAATGTGGTGGTAGGTAAAGATTTTATTGAAACAGGGTAGATGCAGTCCCCCTGCCTTGCGGATATGATGTGATTTATATTCCAGAAGCAACCAGAAGTTTGCTAGGCATGGTACAGCAGTATATGTTAGATCTCTGGGGCAAATACCACCATTTAAGAGACAAGTACCAAAAGGAGGATAAAAGGGCAAAATACTCTAGTATGATAGTCTCTAGCAACATCTATTTAAATATCTCATATTTGCAGTTCACTGTTTAATAGCCTTCAGGATTTTGTATGATTATTAGACATAAGTAGTACTATTTTCCTGCTATACTGTCCTCCTCTTTTAAATAAAATTGGGAAATGTGAGATGCTGTTAATGCCTTAGGCATCCAGATTCCTCTGGGTTTTAGTTATTATCCATAGATTCTGATGCTCAGTTATGAAGTGCACTGATGCATGAAATAATCTCTAATCTTGTGCCATCACATTTATTAGAATATAATGTTGTTTCTTATTTCCCTCCTCATGTTCACCTTCTAAGCTACTACTGGACTTCCTTCTAATTTGGGGTTGGTTTGGGTGTTGGGGTTTTTTTTATGATCTTTTTTTTTACATAGTCTTAAAGAGGAATTGATATATAAATATATTTGGGTTTTATATATATATATATATTTATACTGTGTGGCTTTCCCAGCATATATTTTTAGTCTTACGTTAAATAAAATGTATTTTCACTCCTTCCATTAGTCACAGCAGATTTGGAATGCCTGCAATAAACCAGGATGGATTTTTGCCCCCTGTTCCTAATTGCTTTATTGAAGGATGAAACAAATCTGAGTATTTAAATATAACCAACTTGATTTTGTGAAGTGTATACTCAATGCTTAAATGCAAAAGCATAAGTGGCCTTACTTTGAGGCAAGATATTAATTCTCAAACCTTAATTTATGTCCTGTATTTTAGTTTTGTGGAGTTTATTCAGTTTATTTCTGTCTCTCAGATAGCTGATTTCTTTATCTGTACTCAATTAAAATGTTTCGTCTCAGTTTAGTGATACTTTTGCCAGCTTGGTATGCTGTCTTTTCTTTCCACTAATTATCCCTCAGTACCTTTGCCTGCAAACTAATTAACTCATCTTCCTGAGCAAGTCAGTTACAGTTAACATAACCTTAAAAATAATCTTCCTTATCTCAACTGCCCCTGTACTAGGTTCAACACGTCCAGCTTTGTGATCTTTTATGAGACATGTAATGTCCATTTATCTGTTGTCTGACCTCCAATTGTCCCCTAGCTGATTTATGTATGTAATAAATTTAATTTCCCCATCACTGGACTGTGTACAACCACTAGCCTGCATGTGCAGTGCATCCACATCTCCTCTCTTTATCCCTGCATTATAATTTTTAAGTATAATAAATATTTAATAAAGCTAATCTCTTTCCAGACCAGACTTGAATATAGTTTTAATATCACACTGCTTTTCAGCCTTGTTTCCTAGTAAGCTTGGTTCATTGTGTGTCTCCATGAACAGAGATAAGCAAGAATGTGCCCCTGAGTCAGCTTTTTTTTTTTTTGCCTTTCCCAGATCCCTCCTGCCTGTGCTGGCTATGTCACACCTATGGTGAGGGACTAAAAGTGGATGCTAACTAAAGCTTTCTATTTACTTGGGTTTTTTTGTCTTTTCAGGTTTCAATACTAGGCTGCCCTGATCCCAAAGTTCATGAGATTGCATATCAGTATGGAAAAAATGTTGGCATAGCTTTTCAGGTAGTGCTTTTATTGAACTAAAAGGAATCTAAAGTCTAAAATTCTCCAAACTGCTTTAGAAATCAAAGTGGGCTGTCTTAATCCTTTCTGCAAATCTTCTCTTTAACAAGTATTATTCTGTATTTAGTTCTCATTTTTAAAAAGAAAGTTTCTAAATAATCTGCATATTTATTTTTTTCCCAGCTAATAGATGACGTGCTGGATTTTACATCATGTGCCGACCGTCTGGGGAAACCAACAGCAGCAGATCTCAAGCTTGGATTGGCCACAGGCCCCGTCTTGTTTGCTTGTCGACAGGTAAGTCAACAGGTATCTGCTTCCTCAAAACAGAAAGTGTAAACTGCTCCTCACAGCACACACCCAGGTCCAGCTCAAACACATAAGGCTACAGCATCTGCATCAAGCGGGGCCTGGGCCCATGTGAAAAATCTGTGCATTCAGGATCAGATGGATTCTATGTGCACACACATGTTCTGACAGACTGAGAATCACCTTCCTGCACAGCTCCTCTTTCTATTAGGCCCTTGTAGGTACTCACAGAGTATCTGCATGTTTTATTTAGGTTATTCCTAAGTAGCTTCTTGCTTATGTTCTCTCCTGAGACATCTTGTTCTTCCCAGGCTTGACTGTGTATGTAGGCTTTTTTGCCGGGTTCTGGGCTTTGTATCCATCCTGGGGCCAAGAACTGAAATCCCTGCCTAGCTTTTAGGTGGGTACCTCTATTTACTGGATTTGATATCTTCATCTCTTTGTCTTCAAGTATTATCCAGTTACAAATGTGGGGAAGCTTTCCCTTCTGACAGCTGGATAAGAGAAGGAGTGTCATAAATAAAACAAGTTTAAAATGGGTCAAGATTTTTAGTGCCTTAAAAATTATTTGGAGTTCAAGGAAAACAGGAGTGCAAGCAGCACCAAAAGAAACATTAAAATTGGTGCTAATCCATAAATGGGGAAGAAACTGATTTAATGTGCCTTGCTCAAGTTTCTGGTTCACCAGAGGAAAGAAGATTTGAGACTTAAAAAGTGGTCCCTCCTACCAAACTTCACAGCATCATACAAAAACTGGCACATCTAATTCCAGCAGAGCTCTAGTCAATGATCTCTCAGTGGAACTGCTGAGAGCTTGACATGGGAAAAGTTTTAAATCATTTAAAAAAAACACAAATCCTCAACAACTTTGACATTTACTTCCCCCTCTTTCTTAAAAGAGCCTGGAGTGGGGCGAGGTGGAACATAAGAACGTGTTTGCTTCCTTATACTTAGGGCATTTACGAAGATCCATAACTCAGAAAAGACAGGAAAGCACAGAGTTTGGGCCAATTAACAATGCAGACGAATGCACATTGAGAACAATTTTCTCCATATTCTCAGTCCCTCCCCACGTAATCATCTGGGGGATTCACAAGCATGTTCTTGAATCATTATTTCAGAACTGTTAGTCATCAGCAACTGCAGTCATCTAAAGAACAGTGAGAGACTCAAGCAGAGAAAGAGGATGCAATTGTGAAACAGTTTGGTTTTGTGTGTGCTAAAGTTACAGAGAGAAATGACATACTGCAAATACTCTTGATTTTGGCAGAGAATGGGTAACACTGATTGTCTTGTGGGTGTTGAATATTCCAATTTTTTAAATTAAAACTATTATTAATTTGTTTGGGTTTTCTGTCTCTGACTTTCAAATTCACCTATCTTTTAATTAGCTTTATAAGATAAATTAGTTCATAATATAAAAATAGAAGAAAAGAAAATCTGTCAGTTCTGTTTTAAAATCTTGCTCTTTGTAGGTCAATTTTAAATGTTTTTTCTCATATTTTTCATAGATGGGAAGCATATATTTTTGCATTGAAAGATAACTCAACCATCTTACAAAGTTTTCCACATTAACTTAATTTTCTCTGCTGAAAATTTTTTGCTGTTTTCAAGAAACTGGAAGAACAGCACTACAGACTTAACAGATACATAAACAAGGCATAAGCGCTAAAAAAATGTGGAGCTTTAACAGACACTTGTCTTTGCTGCTTCTGAAAGATGTTTCACCTATTTGTATCTGAGAATAAAAATTCCTGAGCCAGGACTTGAAGACAGTCCAAAATGTAATTGTTAATTATAGGCTGTCTTTTCTCTTCAAATTAATATTACTACTATCCTGCAGACCCCTTCATATAGCTGGTTATCCCTGAGTTGTCTTCTGAAAAACATTCTTTAGTTTTTAACATGCTCTGGGGATCTTTAGTGACAGCTGCCTTTTCTTCTCATTCTCTCCCCTCCCTCTGAAATACATCTTTGTGCATTAGAGTATTAAGGAGAGGCCTTTACAGAAAATAAAAATGTTTATAGCTTGATGTGATACCTATTTATTCAGTATTTAAAGTTAGTTCACTCGGTTAAAAAAAACCCCACCCCATTTATTTCTTAATGAAATACACTAGTATATGCTAATTCTGAAGCCCTTAAACTAGTACAGCTGAAGAATGAGGGTTTATTTTTATTATAAGCATTCCTGTCCAGTGCTTATACACTGCCTGCTAAATCTGCAGAGTGGCTAATAACAGCTTTGCCTTAAAGGTTTGGGGATTTTCTTATCCTTTAGTGCTTAAATATAAAAAGTGATCCTGTATACGTGTGTGAGTCACCAATAAACTTCTAAATGCATCTCCAAGAAGACTTCATGAGTAGTAAGGAAATGTAACAACATTTAGGGATGCTACGTTTCTACCTGAACAAGGTTGTGGAGCTGCAGTTTCAGGACCAAAGGTGTGCTAGGAAAGTGGATCATTGTTTACAAGTGTACGGCAATAAAATCATCTTTCTTTGACTCTAATCCTTTCAAACAAGATGAACCAAGACCTCTTTCCTTTAAAAAGAATTTTTCTGCAGAGTAGGTGTCTTGAATTGTGACCTTACTTTTAGTGAGCACCAGGTTTTTCTGTTTCTAGGCTATCTGAAGAAAGAGCCTGCGTGTTTAGATAAGTAATGCGATTTTGTCACACAACTGACTTGAGTTACCTACTTGATTTGCAGGGAATTGAGCATGGACTGCTAACTACAAATGCTGTGTGACTGAAAACAAAATACCTTATAGTTGCCATTTCTTTCTTATTAAAAAAAAAAAAAAATCAGTCCTGAGCTTTCCACAGGGCAGAGCCTGTGTATATAAAATACCAGCACAACAGAAACTATAAGTGGATATAACAGCTAAACAACAAACCTCTTTTGTTCACTGTTGTACATGGAGGGGGAAGAGGTGCTTCTTTGAGCTGTGCCAACACTAAGCATCATTTGTGATAAAAAAATACCTGAAGCAGATTATACTCCAGGGAGTAGCCACATCAGAAATTACCACAGTAGATTATCTGCTCAACATGATGAAATGGCAGATGCTACCTTTTGCTACCAACTGGCTACAGCCAGCAGAGCCAGACAGTTTAAGTTTAAATGCTTGGGCTGTGCTGTACTGCAGTCCTATGCAGACTGCAAGTATGAACCTAAAGCTATACCCGTAATAACAAGAGTGGCAGGGGAAGAGCTCTGTACTTTGGTGTTGTTTTGACCTTAGCATGGCAGGCAGCTACATGGAAAACAAAAACAGTACAAAAACCTTCTCCCTTTGTGCTTAGTTTCCAGAAATGAATGCTATGATAATGAGGAGATTCAGTAGGCCAGGAGATGTTGAACGTGCTTGGAAATATGTGTTGCAGGTAAGACTGATACCAAATATTTCTGCTTTCCCTACTGAAGTTGGTCTGAAATTCATTGTTTCCGAAGTAAAATAGCAGGGCTGCATTGTCATTTACCTGCTAAGTAGCATGCAATGTACAGTGCCAAGTTAGAACTCTTCAGCTGTCTTACTGGCATAGTGTTTTAGAAGAAATGATAGGTACTGAAGAGCTTTTTTTTCTTTTTTTCCCTCCCATAGCATAAAATCCACATAATAAAAGTAAAAAGCTCATGCATGAACTCAGTTCCTTCAGCTGAGGAGTAGCTGTATCCAACAACTGGTGTAAGTGGCACATCCTTACCAGTCAGTCTTGTAACTGCAGTGCACACCCCCTGAGTTTTAATTGACGCTAGTCTGAAAAGACTGAATAATGATCTGTGCAAAATTAATACCTATTTTTCCAGAATAGCACATTCTTTTGCACATCCCTACTTAGGGCAGGAGGGGAGGGGTTAAACCATTAGTTTCCAATATATTATTAATACCAGTGCTGGTTTTTAAGTATACTTAAATTTAGCGTGGATGAGTTTTAGTATTTTGACACTTTGGGGAAGGTATGTAGGATTCCATGAATATAGAACGAATCCTCTTCCTTTCCCCTGCACAATATAATTAAGCGTTCAGGGTACTGACTGACCTTAAAACCCCTGTACAGTGGGAGAGGCAAAAGGCAGGAGGGAGGCTGATCATTTACCCATTTCCTCTCACTGTCTTTGCACCTCAGAGTGATGGTGTGCAGCAGACAACCTACCTCGCCCAGCGCTACTGCCACGCGGCCACGCGAGAGATCCGCAAACTGCGGCCGTCCCCGGAGAGGGAAGCCCTCGTCCACCTGACAGAAATGGTTCTCATGCGAGACAAGTGAGACAACTCCTTCCACTCGTCCTGGCAGCTACTTACCAGACTGTGCCTACATTTATTTCAAAAGTTATTTGCTTCCAACACAGGCTACCAAAAATTATTTTTTTAAAAAAACCTTTTTTTTTTTTTTTAAAAACAAAAGTTTAAAGTGTTTTACTGCAGGAAGCAATGCAATTCAGAGCAAATCAAACTGTGCTGTAGAATTGTTTTAGTGGGGGGCTGTTGATTGTGGGGGATGGGGAAGATGTTTACATGTCGATGCACAAAGGCCACAATGAGAATAAATATAAATCAGTGTATAAGAACTGAAGTTGTTCCAAATTTCACTTGTTTACACTAATAAACAGAGCATGCATGCACAGGGGCTGGTAAACTCCTGTGAAGAGAGATGGTTTGAATGCTTCCCTGGCTGTTTAACAACAGAAGCAACTGGAATTCTACATATGACACCAGTTTACTATAAGAGACTATATGTAGATTTTAATTGGTTATATACATCAGTGAGTTCCAGTTTGTAATGAAATACAGGTACACTATTGGTGGCTACTTGCTAGCAGTTAACAAGATGCAGAATTTGAGATTGCTGCAGTTCAGATAATGAAAGGCTCAGTATTTCTAACTCACACTAAAACTAAATGATTCACCAGCCAGTCAAACCTGCAACTCCATCCCCCTTCCATCGCTCGTTTATAGAGTATATTCAGTACCCTTCTAGAAGCCTGCTTTGAAGTCCCAGACACATTCCTCTCACAGTAATTATCCAGTACTACCACATTCCTTTTCAGGTTATTTCAGCCACAGAATTTGTAGAACAGGGAGGCACACAATCTCTATCTCTGCCTGTGATGTCTTAACACAATGGCCAAGTTCCTGTTGTGTGTGTTCCCCCTGGGTGCTCTCTGGAGGACACCTCGCTGTCTCTCCTCAGCAGGGCACATCACCAAGCCACACAGAGTTTCCTCAGAGAACTGTAAGTTACAGATGGTGTCCAAGTTTTACTGCATCTAGCTAACTAGATTAAATCAAGAATCCTTGCTGTAATTAAATGTTGGAAGAAAAGAACCTTTAAGAGTATGTGTAAGTGTGTAATTCAGGGTTTCAGATCTAATTTATTTTCCCTCTGTCAGTGATAAATTCATGTTACAAACATTTGCTTTTCAGTACATTGCCTGGGATAACACAGCCATGATTTTGCTACCTTAGTATTCCAGCCTTCTTTACCAAGCCAACCAACAAAGTAATGGACAAGACCTTTGGTTCACTTATATATTTATGAATGGAAAAAGTCATAATGTAAATTTACTCATTAAAAAAACTTGGGTACAAATTACACATACATAAGACCACCCATTTTTTGATTCACATGGACACCTTAGACCCAAACAACTCATTGTAATAGACTTTAGTGAGAATACTCCAGGTAAAGATTACAACAATTGGAAGCATCTTGGATTTTTAAAAAAGTATATTTCAATACATAAGTTTGTATGCATGCTTTAAACAAATATAGTTCAAGAATGAGCAAAGAGTCTAAACAAAAAGTAATATGACCAGCACTAACATTAAACTTCTCATCCAGATTTTAATATGTTAGTCTAACGTAGTGTTAGTTACCATGCTGTACTGAAAAATGTAATGGCACAATCTGATCATGGTTCATTAAATATTATACCCTACTTCCCCATAATATTTAGGCTGGTCATAAAATTAACAATGCATAAGTAAATAAGTATAACCAGTTATAGACAGTTGTTTGTTTTACAAATTGCCATCAGGTAAGACATACTGTCCCCAGAGACTCAGAGATGGACATTCAATCATACCATTAAAACAGTATGGCCTGAAGAAATGGGCACAATTTTTTTGAAAGTATATTAAGACAATCCTGTTAGCTTTTAGTTACCCCTTGTAAATAATCATGGTATGACTGAATACAAGACCAAACTTTGAAAAGCAAAGGATTTTAATCGGCATAGTGCATGATTGATTCAACGTAATTCCCAGGAAACAAGCCAGTTACTCGATTGCAAACTCCTTCATACCAGCCGTCATCGTTCTTCTTTATCACATAAATGATTGCACCCTCCATAAATGACAGCTCATCGTCTTTGTCCTTTGTATAGTCATATATAGCAACAACTGTGGATTGGAAAGGGACACGTTTAGCATTTTATTAATAGCACCAGTATTAAAAAACAATTGTACTTCAAAAAATATTAAAAGACTAGTTTGCTATCCTGGGATTTTCCATAATGAATCCACATGCTTTCCCTGTTGAACGTTAAGTCCAGAAAATGAAATTTTACTTTCCTTGCAACATTAGCCACCAATAAGAAGTGGGTGGTGACTACACTGAACGCTCAGTTAAGCTGCTGACAGAGAGGTACATCTGACTGCGACACAGTAAAGCAGTGCATATGGACACTTAAAGCTGAAGTATGAAATAACTGACTCCTTAAGTGTGGCAGCCATTTCTGGTCTGAGTACCTCAAAATAAATTTTTTTTTTTAAATAATTTCACTAGGGTCCCTGGATATATATATATATATACACACACACTGTATTCAGTGTGGGATCTACACATCACTGTGTTAAGCTACTCCAACAAATGGATGGTCTTTCCTACAGAGCTTCTGTATGATAGGAAGTTCTGGTATCAATTTTCAAGAAGCTGCAATGTGTGCAAGTAGAAACGCTACTGTAGGAGAAAGCAGAAGCAAATTTACAGCAACATCCGCTATTTTTCAGTACGTGCTTGGTGAACACTCTTACCAATCTCCAACTCACTGTGTGCCACTAACGAAGCAGAGATCACCTTAAGGAAAGTAAGTCTTGCCACCAACAATAGTGGAGTTAGAAACTACCACTATGAATATACAGAGTTAGACATCATAGCCTTACCATTCAAAACAGTTAACATGGATTTATGCAGTTGATCAGCTTTAGGAATTCCAAGAATCTACTACTTTACACATATATATATATTCTCAGAAATCTGATGTCTTAGGCAGGAAATCAGCATCTCTATTATTCATGGGAAGAGACATTTACTACATTAGTTTGTAGTTTGCTGATGGGGGAGTCACTGATAAATTTCCTCAACACATTCTATAGGTGGAAGTCTAATGATCTGCTCTAGCTATCTAGTTCAGTGCAATAAATAAAGCTCAATTTCTGACCTTTTTGCAACAGTTTCTAGATGACTGCCTAGCAATCCTGAGGTAGCTAAAGACACAGTCCAGAAAAGATGAAAGCCACACAATTTACATCTGCATCTCATAAAGAAGCTTTTTGGTTTTCATCTGTCCCAGAATGCTTGACGGTATTTTATAATTTGTCCAAAAAAGGATTGTATCTTATAACATTAGGTGTAGCCACAAACAAACTAAGGACAGCATGGATCGAGTTCTGACTTAGGAGGGACAATGATTGTTCTCATCAGACCCACATTAAGTCCTTCATTCCCTTCAGATACCATTAATCCTCTGATATTGCACTAAGGCAGCTGTAACGCCTCTCTTACCTTTCTCTATATAGTTTTTAGGTGCCCAAGCAGGATCTCCATCTGCATAGGGATCGCTGTACTGCACAACAGCAGCCTCCTCATCCTCATAATCCACGGGAGGTGGGGGTGGAGGAGGAGGAGAGTCATCAAACATCGGCATCTCATCGGGGGGTGGAGGTGGGGGAGGAGTCGGGCTATCAGCAACTAGAAACGTTTGGAGATTATTTTTTTTTCTTAAATCAAAAACAGTGTGGAGATGCAAACAAACCTGAGGCTGTACACTGTAAATAAAAGGGGTGGGGGGACAACACACATAGCATGCACTATAATTCCATGCACTGATTAGAAACAAGAGGCTTTGTATTAAACAGCTACAACACACAACTATATTTGTTATTAGTGGTCAAATCTACGTATAAATGCTACTAAAGCACATGCTGCGGGGCATAAGCTGAACATCAGCAGAGAGGAAAGCTTCCTGCTCCGACGTCCATGCGCTGCAGCGTTAGCTATGGGAGGACTCCGAGTGGCACCCTCTGAGCCAGGCAGCAACAGGCCTCTGGACTGGGCCAGCAGCTTCATCTTTTTTTAACAAATCCTTTGTCTGTAACCATCACTTTAATTTATATCTGAACACTGCTTCCTTGGATTCCTTCTCTCTCAGAGCTAGCATTAAGGGGACAAAAAGATCTGGTGTGGATCATAAAAAAGGGAAGAGACTAGTATTTAAGATTTAAACAGGTAAGAGAAAGCCAAGTAATCCTTCTGCAGAAGAAAAGCTTTGTACAGATCCTTATCTTGCAGACTAGCTTGTGTGTGTGTGCACACATTCAGGATTTAATTAACAAATGGAAAACTACAACAGGCAGCTGCTCCTCTTAGGGAAAAAGTGCTCAAGGAATTAAGTGTATAATCCAAAATGTCAAATTCCTGCCCTGAGATTCTCCAATCATCACAATTACAAGTTGCTTTGGGAAAAGGAAAAAAGAGAAAGGCATTATGGTACAATCACTTTTAAAATCAGTTCATCAAATTAGATTCCAGTGATGTTCACAGCAGCTGGCAGCAAAGGAGAGAGATGGCATGCTCAGAGGCAAGACATCAAGTCACTTATCCTATTCCTTGGGAGCTGTGGTCCACTACACACAGACCTAGGTGTAAGCACTAAGAAGCCAGAAGTTACTGAAAGGAAGCTACTGTCGCTAAAATCAACTTTGTTACATAGCAATACAGGTTCATTTTCAAGTGATTTGGGATTCTGCACATTGAAAACAGGCTGAAAACCACTGCTCTAGGCAAGGTTTGATAGAATGAGCTATCAGGCTCCAGGATGTGCAGGTCCAGCACACAAATTTTGAGAAGAAAGCCAAGCTACAGAGTAAGGGAATATTGCATTGAGCGAAGCTTTAGCTACCGCTAATTAAAATGGCACAGGAGATTAGAAACAGGATTTCTGTTTGCTTGAACACCCTTTACTTTCACCTGGTTGCTACTCCAGTGGTGACAAACCTTTCCTCTTCATCCCCATGCTCCTGACACGGGGCTTGAGCACAGCTCCCATGTCCTTGCTGGGTCAGACTGGCTGTGCTGGTACAGGGGAAGCCAGATCTGCTGCCAGGGGGCAGAAGCTGGTAGGAGCTGCTGGGGCAGAGGCTGCCTCAGAACTGGCATCCAGCCTGCTCCCTACACTTCAAGAGTCAATGCTCTGCTCCACCTGCAAGCCCAGCTCCTCTTCAACTTGATCAGCTGAGCTGCACACCCCACAGCTCTCTCCATTAGTAAGACTGGCTGCCACTGTATTAAGGATTCCTCTCCCATACAGAAGCCCATTTATGTCACTTGGAGACAGACTAA